TAAAGCCCAGTCCCAACATATTTAGATCAAACATCTCTTCCTCACTACACAGTTATATTACTTTGATACCATTTTAGCTGTTAAGCCACTGTCCTATGAAATCCTGGGAGAAAGAAAAAGCAGGGTTTAAAAAGGAGGAGGAGGAGGACGAGGGAGAAGGAGGAGGGGGGAAGGGGAAGGGGAAGGGGAAGGGGAAGGGGAAGGGGAAGAGGGAAGAGGGAAGAGGGAAGAGGGAGAGGAAGAAGGAGAGAAGTATTCCTCCAACATGGCTCTGTAGTCAACTTCCACTATAGAGTTACACTGAAGGACCTAAGGTGGTGTTGTCTTAGTTTTAAAAAGGGTGTGTTTTTTCATGTTTTTCCAATATTGTTGGCGTCCCGCATCCTCAACCCCAACAAATTTGGAAGGCTGATCATACATGGTATTCCTCCTCCATTACTTAGTAAGAGCACACTCCATAACTATAAAAGTAAAAGAAATGAAGGTTTCTATCATTAGGTTTCAATTGTAATGCAGTATGTGCAATTATTTTATCATCATTACTGGAGATAAAATTTTTGTTATGATTTCTATTACTTAAGGTATTCTATACCTTACTATGTTTCCATTGATTCTTAAACCTCACCAAGACTGAAGCAGAGTTCCATCGGGGAGTGTTTCCTACTTGGCCAGTCCCTAATTAACAACGTATTCACAGAGGCTATATTATTGTAGCAGTTGACAAGCATCACATACCCTGCTTCGTCGCTCCATAATAACCTCATATATCAAACTGGAAGAGACTGCGGGGCCCTTGCTAGGAAAGTGCACACTTTTTACGCCGAATATCATTATCCAAAGTCCCCCAATCCCTTGCTTGATATGCAAAAATTCTTAAGTTCCCCAGAGTACTTGCCAGACAAAATGCCCAACAAAATGGACATTTGTTATTTTCTAAGACTTCAGGCACAAGGTAATGGGAGTGGGAGGTAGGGGTGGAATGAGTTTACCCAAAGATTTCATCACATTGTTCCAGATATTTAGGAAAGAAGATAAAGGATGACATCTGGTGGCAAAAAGGCAAAGCACACTTGTTCAGAACCAAAAAGAATATATAGGGATTTCATTTGGAGAGAAGAGAGGGGACCCAACATGATGTGTGTAGCAGTTAGAAAGGGTTAGATGAGAGGAAATTGGATAAAAGGTGCTCATTTGGTCGAGCCAGATGCTACTTTATGGCTTAGCACAGTGGTTCTCAACCTGTGGGTCCCAAGATGCTTTGGCCTTCAAATCTCAGAAATCCTAAGAGCTGGTAAACTGGTTGTGATTTCTGGGAGTTGTAGGCCAAAACACCTGGGGACCCACAGGCTGAGAACCACTGGCTTAGCATAACCTTCTCAGAAGACTAGTGAAGATAAAAATGAGGAATATGCATGTCAATTTGATGTCCTTGGAAGGAGGAAAGAACACAAACAAATGTGGAGTGCAATCAGAGATGGAGGGAACACATATGATGTATTTCTATGGATTTAAATGGAGCATAAGCATGTCTACCTTTAGAATCTACACTTCCTAACCATAGGGAAGCAAAGGAGTTGGTTGTACCATGGTTCTTGGAGAGCATTGGCCTACTAGCCTAGAACAAATGGTCTTCTGTATCATACAGTTCTTTTAGAACTGAGGCTTCCAGGAAAAAGTATCAACCAGACAAACTTATTATCAGTGCTATTTTAGTTTTATATATATATATATAATAATTTTTATTGATTTGTCACAATTATTACATTCGTTATACATTTGTTATTACTATTGCGTTTTGTACAGCAACCTCTTTAACATGTTGTTTTATTATTTTGCTTTAACATTTTCCCCTTTTTTATTTCACCACAGTGCTCCCCTCCACCCGTCTCAAGCCACAATTCTTACATATCATCTGTCCAAAATCTCATTTCTTCTTTTGACGGTAATTTTCCTTCCTTGTTTTTTAGACCATTTACCACAAATCTTCCCCATACAGCATCAAAATCACTTTGTTTCCATATACCCTTTTTAAGCTTTAATATACATGTCAGTTTATCATTTATTGCTATTTTCCATGCTTCCTTATACCACTCCTCTATTTGTATATTCATTTCTTTTTTCCAATTCCTTGCTATGAGCAATCTTGCTATTGTTAGTAAGTTTGTTATCACTTCTTTATCCTCCTTTTTCAATTGCTTATAGTGCTATTTTAGTTAAACTCTTATGGCTTCCGTCCAAAAATCCAAAGAGGCATAGCAATAATAGAAAGAGACATTCTGGAAGATAAATTCATCCAGATATGCTACTTCACACAGCACATACTTTAACTATGAGATTTTTCAGCAAAAGTATTCACACTTAATCATGTCAATTCGTGCTATCTTCTTGTTGTAGTGACTGGCAATTTTGGCTTTGATTTATGGCCTTTTCTCACCGAGGAGCCCCCGGTGGTGCAGCGGGTTAAACCGCTGAGCTGCTGAACTTGCTGATGGAAAGATCGGTGGTTCGAATCCAGGGAGTAGGGTGAGCTCCTGCTGTTAGCCCCAGCTTCTGCTAACCTAGCAGTTCGAAAACATCCCAATGTGAGTAGATCAATAGGTACCGTTCCAGTGGGAAGGTAACAGCACTCCATGCAGTCATGCTGGCCACATGACCTTAGAGGCATCAATGGACAACGTCAGCAATTCAGCTTAGAAATGGAGATGAGCACCACCCCCCAGAGTCAGACATGACTAGACCTAATGTCAAGGGAAAACCTTTACCTTTACCTTATAGCCTTTTCTCATAAGTCCTACCATTTCATAATATGGTCAATCATAATAGCTAGTCTAACCATTTTGATATCTAGGAAAAGAGAACCCATTTGTGGTCATTTCATGGTCATGGACAGTTCATGGTCATTTTTGTTTTAAGGAAAGGGAAAATGTTGCAGTGGCTGCAGCTGATGAGATCTTGTTATCTGAGATTCTTCTGTTCTGCAGATAGATGGACATGGACCCCAAGGCCCAACTCTAACAGTGCCAATTGGTTGCATTCTTCATTACCCATTATCTTCAAAACAGGCAGCCTAATGTCTGAAGCACAAGTCCAGAATAAATAGCTTGGGGATGCTATACAAAATAATAAAAACCTGCATCTTCATCACACATTGCTGAAAATCTTAAGAATAAAAATATTTCCAGACAAGGGACTCTGATAGTGTTAGCCCAAATGTGCAGATGAGTATACAGTATAATATTGTATGGTGGAGCTGTGGGTTAAACCGCTGAACTGCTGAACTTGCTGAACTTGCTGACCAAAAGATTGGCAGTTCAAATCTGGAGAGCAGGGTGAGTTCCCACTGTTAGCCCCAGCTTCTTCCAACCTAACAGTTTGAAAGCATGCAAATGTGAGTAGAGCAATAGATACTGCTTCTGTGGGAAGGTAATGGTGCTCCATGCAGTCATGGTGGCCACATGACCTTGGAGGTGTCTACGAACAACACCAGTTTGTTGGCTTAGAAATGGAGATGAGCACCACCTCCAGAGTCGGACATGACTAGACTTAATGTCAGGGGAAACCTTTACCTTTAACACTATGGAGTGGGGGGAGTGAATCCGTTGTTTGAAGGGACAAGGATGCATGAAAGCCTTCCTCCTCCCTCCCTGATCATAGAGAGTCAACATGTTTGTTTATTTTCATACTAGGAATTTTTATTAGTAAAGCATTGAGGTTTTATATTTTACAACACCAACATAGACAGGAAAGTTTTGTGTCTCAGGCAGTCACATCCAAAAATACTCTCTTGTTGTTATAGTGTCATGGGAGAGATTGTGTTCTCTAAAGCAATTATGCCTTTTTTTTTTTCCTTGCATGATTTTCATACTGTCTGGATATGCCCTGAAGCTTCTTCAGATGTACATCCACATCTCTGTATATTTTTCCTCTCTCTCTTGCAGGGCGGTATACAAATATGGTAAATAATACTCACTCACACTACACAGAGAGAGTATATGGGAAGGACAGTAACCTTGGACTACATCCACACAGCTATATCCCCATGTAGTTATGTGCTCTGCTATGTGTGAGAAGGATGCTGGCAGTAGACCAACAAACACCCAGGTCATAATCGGTATACACAGCTGTGTTCCCTACTCCACATGGTGAATGAGAATCTTTTGAGGAAGGGTCTCATGGTGCTTAGTAAAAATTATGAGAGAATATCTCAGAAAAGGCTTCTGACCTCAAAAGGCTCTTGAGTTGACAAAGGGCAATTCTACCTTCACAGGTGGTAAATTCAATTAATGTCCATTGGAAAAATGGAAGACCCCTGCCAATGTTAGTCAACTCATAATATCCCTTCTAAAAGCAATAACCAAGGGGCTTCTCTCTCTCTCTCTACTTTCCAAAAAGCAAGGAGTCATTATCCAGTTCCTGGATTGCAACTCCCATGATCACTCCCACCACTGTTGGTGGGAGTTATAGGTCGGACACACAATTTCCCCATTCCTGAGATAAAGCAGAAGTTAGCTCAGTTAACGCTGGCCTAAACTTAAAATCCTATTAAGGTAACAGAGTATAAATGCACACAAGTGAAAGGAACTTAGAGAGAGAGAGAGTACTCTGTTTACATGCCAAAGTGGAATTTCTATCCACCTGGAGCCTTTAACTTGTGTAAATGAACATATGTAGACTTCTAAACTCATAACTAGTTATCAAGCCCTGATATGTCTTTTTATTTATTTTCATTTTGTTTCAATATACTGCCTGAAAGTTTAACATCTGAATCAAATCTTCTAAAAATATGTTTTCGGAATGCAGCTCTCAAAATCCCCTCATTGACCATAGTGGCTCAATCTGAAAGCTGCAATCCAAAAAAAAGAAAGAAACTTTTTGAATCTTTTGCCTGAATAAGACTAAAGGGTCTTTGTAATGGGGTATTGTGGTGATGAGTCAATTCTCTTAAAGAAAAGTAACTATACTTAGAGACACACATTTCTCACAAACAACAACAGGCAGCATCAGGCCCACTAGTGCTTTATTGATGGCATTAAGACAGCTGTGACTTTGGTTTCAGACTTCTTGCTGCTTATTACTCAGCAACACGGCGGAAGGACTGGACCACTGGGGATGCAGCTCCCCACTCCATGGGTTTGCTGTACTCTCCTCTCTCCAAGAAATACTGCCGGCCACGGTAGTTGGGGTGCTCATAGAAAACCCAGGCCCCATCCAGGACTTTGCAAGAGTGGATTTCCCGGAAATGAAACTGCTCCATGACAGAAGGGCAATCATCTGTGTAGTCATACATCTGGCCACCAAAATCACCCTTCTCCCAGAACTGGATCTGGTATTTGCCTCCACTGGACTGTAACAAAAAAGAAAAAGAACACAAAGGTGAGCAGAGGTAGAAAACTCTGTTTTCTGGACAAGCCATTAAATACATCCTTGGATAATGCAGTCATCCCAATCCAAGGTATGCTTCCAACAGCCTCCATAAGGCTAAGAGAACACATGAATGCATAAATATTACAAACTCAGATAGCCACAATGAGTACTTTAATACATCCTTTCCAAGAGCCAATTTAATTCAGTTGAGAGATTTGTAAATTAAGTTCATACCCCCTTCTTATATTCAAATTTTACAGGGTAATATCAAGACAGCCATTAGCTCTCAGCTTGCTTAACAACTTCCTAGGATTATTGTGTGGATAAAACAGGGAAATAGGGCTAGGAAAGAAATGCACACTGGTATTTGCCTGGAGGAAAAATGGGATAAACCTGTTGTAAATAAATGATTACATGGCTTTATTGATAAATCAGAACATTCTCATCTTTCAATGTAGAGGTAGGAAACCTGAGGCAATCCAGATGTCGTTGGGTTCAAATATTCATTGTTCCTGTCTGCTGATCATTCAAGCTGGGGCAAGCTAGAATCTAACTTTTGGAAAGTCACAGGTCCACACTTCTTTTAACATTTGAGTGTCCATGTGAGCAGTACAACCAACATATCTATGGAACCAAATAAGTAATTTCACTTATTCACTTAGGCGTCCTGTACAAGCTACACCTTCTTCTCTGTACTTCTGTCATTTATCTACCTGAAAATAAAAAGGATTTCCTATTATCCATGGTTTAATGTGTCCATGTGAAGTCCAGGCACATATCCTCCATGAATACTGTACATACAAAGGTGAGTTCTCTTTCACTGTTTTTACATTGAGGTTCCCTCTTGGGGTTGGTTTTTGCAGTAGATTCCTATACAACAGTGGTTCTCAACCTATGGGTCCCCAGGTATTTTGGCCTACAACTCCCAGAAATTGCAGCCAATTTACCAGGTGTTAGGATTTCTGGGAGTTGAAGGCCAAAACATCTGGGGACCCACAGGTTGAGAACCACAACTCTATTAAAAGGAATTGGACCGGATGAGTCTTAGGGTCCTTTCCAGGTCTAAGATTTTAAGTATGTTACTATTATTTCATGAATGTGAAATTAAACTGTACAAAGATCTAGGCATGTGAAGAAAAGAGACTGTGAAGTGCATCAGGATATAGAAGGATATTCCACTCATTTGTGTAAATATCATAATCAAAGAAGGAAAGAAAAAGCCAACTTACTAATTGAATGAATTTGCATGAGCTGAGACGGTCATTTAGGCCCATCCAGCGTTGGTACTCGGGATAATCCCCATGAGTCAGCACATACATATTCCCTGCGAAGTTTGGCCTCTCATAAACCACCCAGGCTCCCCCTTCCACACGGATGGAATTGCAACGGCTCAGGTCAGTGTGGAAATCCAAGCAGTCCCTGTCAGACTCATAGCGGCGGCCTTGGAAATTCTTGCCCTCATAAAAGGTGATCTGAAAACACAAGCAAAAAACAAAGGAAAAATATTTCCCATTAGATGTAGCAAGTCTGGGTGGATTCCATAGAAGATGCAACTTTTTTTGCATCTTAATGACGAAAGAAATTCTACAAGAGTACTTGCTGCAATATATATATATAAATACATACATATACATGCAGGCACCATAGCAATGGCGAAAAAACACTTGCATTTTCTTTTTAGGGAAATATACCATTGGCTATTCACACAGATTATGGTTATGCATGATTTCAGCCATCAAACTAGTATAATGGAGCTACTGGTTGTTGTTCCTTCATTCATATTGTGTGATATGATGTTGACATCCTATCCACTCTCTCCAATTCTATTATCACGAGATTCAGGTTTATGTTTTTAATTCAAATTCAGTCTCCATTCTTCTGTTTCTTGAAACTGTCATGTGAATTCAATGGCCTTTTAAAAGCTTTATAAAATGGTGCTACTTGAACCATTTGCTTTTTCATAATATGTACTAACACACTGGGCAGAGTGAGGCAGATGTCTCAAGTGGCAAATGGTGGAGGTGTGAAGGGATCAAAGGAAGCATTGAGTCCTGGCTGCTCCCATATGTTGGGGAAGAGCTGTATGTTCCACCCTACCTGCACACACAGACCTTGGCTGACTGAATGAGACTGACCAATTACCAATGGGTTGTTGTAGGTTTTTCGGGCTATATGGCCATGTTCTAGAAGCATTTCCTGACATTTTGCCTGCATCTGTGGTAGGCATCCTCAGAGGTTGTGAGGTCCTCTGAGGATGCCTGCCATAGATGCAGGTGAAACATCCAGAGAGAATGCTTCTAGAACATGGCCATATAGCCCAAAAAACCTACAACAACCCAGTGATTCCGACCATGTGAATTTGTTAATACAGATTATGTGAGTTCAGGTTGTACAAAATATTCAGGAAATTTGTAGGTAGTAACTTGGAAGCAAGGGGAGGTTGTTCTCACATCCATTTTTCAATGTAGATCTTTCCCCCAGAAGCAGAAGTCAGTGAATACTCTATCTTTCAGCACAAGAATAATTAGAAAGCATTTTTCCTTGAGCTCATTTCTCACCAGAAAAAAAGCCATCTCCTGGTTTTACTCAAGTCTCAGGTCAGAAACTGGGGGCCACTATTGATCCACGCTTTTGGTGCAGAAAGGATCTCATGTGGAACCAACCTTCATTTTGCATTACAAGCTCAAGAACATACAGCAATTACTTAGCCACAGATCTTTATTTTTTTAAGTACACAGGGGATTGAGATTTAGTCTCTCTCTCCCCTCCACCTCCTCTCAAACACACACATTTATTCATTGACATACACAGAAATAGTGGGAAGGAGCTATTTTCCCTTGTACCCACCAAAGCTATTATTTGCATTGGAGGGATCGTGTTATTGGTGCAAATAGATGGGGAGGGTATATTTTCATTGAGCAATTTGATGTCTGGGTGGAGAATGAGTTAATCATTCATGGCTTGGAATTTGGCACTAACAATATCACAGATAATATCTGACAGGCACCCATTACTCTCACAGGATCCTTCGGCATTGCAATTATAGTCACAATAGATATGCTATCTCTGGAAAACATGCAATTTTCCCCCAGGAATGAACTATAACATATCCAATGCTCCGAAAACAAAATAATTCAGCAACTATTCCATTACCTCTAGAAAGCCATATGGATCATACATATCAAATGGATAGCACACACACAAGATGCACCAAAAACTAATGTGGTAGAAAGGACTGGGACCCAACCCCACCTAAAAGCTATATTCAGGAATAATCACACCAGATCCCATCTCATCTTGAAAGACAAGCCAAATCAGCTCCACTTAGTACCTGAATGGGAGACCGCCAATGAAAATCAGGTAATGTAGGCTGTATTTCAGAGGAAGGAACTGGCAAAACCACCTGAGTGTCCCTTACTTAAGAAAGTCTTATGAAATTCATAGAGGAAGCATAACTCAATAGGCAAGTTGAGGGCATATGAACACACACACATACACAACACCAAGTGTGATGTACTGGTCTGAGTATAGGACTAGGATTCCGTGACACCTGAATCCTAGTCCTACACATAGAATCTTAGTCCTGCACTTATGGAAATCCACTGAACAATCTTGGGGAAGTCACACTTTCACATCCTAAGAAGAGAACAATGATAAGCTCTCTGAAGAAGTCTTAACAAAAAAAACCCTTATGATAGGTCACCATAAATTGGAGTCCACCTCCAAGCATACAGCAATAACAAACAGACCTTGTTGACACTCTGTATTTCTGGAGATATCAAGTGGTAGATTCCATGACTGAATTATACCATATTAAATTATAAATGCCATGTGGAGAGTTTTAAAATCAAGGTGAAACATCAGCCAGTCTTTGCCATATTACAGTTATGGCAAAGAGACCATAACTCTAGAGACCACACAGGCCATCCAGTCCAAACTCCTTAAATGCAAGAAATACATGCATTTTTGAAGAGTTTGGCTTGCCAGTGTGAAGTGAATGGGGAAAGTTTAGATTATATTCCAAAAACAGCTGCTGAGCTCATTAAGTATCATCTATGCCAGGGTCCTCAAAGTAATGCCTGAGGGCCGGATACAGCCCTCCAAGGTCATTTACCTGGCCCTCACTCAGGGTCAACCTAAGTCTGAAATGACTTGAAAGCACACAACAACAATCCTATCTCATCAGTCAAAAGCAGGTCCACACTTCCCCCTGAAATACTAATAAGTTTATATTTGTTAAAATTGTTCTTCATTTTAATTATTGTACTGTTTTTAAGTGTTTTTACACTACAAATTACATATGTGCAGTGTGCATAGAAATTCATTCTTTTCTTTTTTTCAAATTATAATTCGGCCCTCCAACAGTTTGAGGGACTGTGACCTGGCCCTCTGTTTAAAAAGTTTAAGGACCCCTGATCGATGCCCTTAGAAGAAGGCAGAGGTATTTATTTCCTGCAATACATGTTGTACATGTTTTATCAAGTTGTAACACTTCTTCTCAACAAGGTGACCAATCCTGGTGCAAAAACATCTCTGTTTCAAAACACATCACAATAATTCTATACTCTTCCTTATCTTCAGAAGCACAAACAAAAAGTAAAATACATTTGCCACTCCCTAATGTCATGTTCAAACACTGGTCTTAATTTGACAAAGTTTAGGACACTGGAGCTGCTTGAAGAAAAGCTAAAAAGCCACCAACAGTTCCAGAAATGCATTTGCCCTTGAGCTTATCATGTCTTCCACTAGGAAAGGAGCAATCTGTAGCTTCCTAAGACAAGGAGACACTATTACTCTGCTTCTTCCAGCAAAGCTTGTGAATTGGGTTTCATCTTCTTTTCAACCACTGGAAGAAAGAAGGGAAGCCTGAGGCTGCAAACATACTTACCCGGTTTTTGGACATGGCCAGTGCTGGAGGCAATACTCCTGGAGGATAAGACAATCTAGAAGCAGCTGCAAGAACAAGAACCAGGAAGCCTCATTTTATAGTGAACTCATTTTTTAGACTAGACATTCGCTTTGTCATGAAAATGGGATCCAAAAATTGAGTCAGTGATTCTGATTCTATTCATCAGTTCTAGAAAAGCAAACAGGATTACAAGATAAAGATACGCTTCATTGCTCCCTTTATTTTTCAGCATTTGGCTGTTGTATTATTAGGTTCTGAACACTTTGCTGAGTCAGAAAACCAAACTTCTGTCAGAAACAATCAAAATTAAAAAAAAACCTTGCAATCTTAGTGAAGGAGGGTAATATTGTTCCCACCCACTACAGAATCCCACAAGGGAACAAAAGAATCAGAGAACTCTTCGGGTCAGAAGAAAAGCTAGAGCACGTCATCACAGTGCAGGGAGAAAGATGATTTTTCCCCCTCTTTGTTAAAAACAGGGTGTTGCTTAAAAGACATCACAAAGAACAACCGTTAGGGTAATACTCCTTGCCATTTTACAAAAGCACCTTCCTTCAATTCACACATCCATTCTTTTAGCTCCAATGACTCTTATGAAAAGAGATATTTTAAGCCACAGAAGTTCTATTTATGGCCAGGTGAAATCTTTGAAAATGGAAACACTTTTCCTTGAATAACCCATTTTGCAAACATGTTAAGTCTAAGATGTTCCTTTCCCCTGTAAACCACATCATGTAAGCCTCTTGAGTATCTTAAATAAAGGAAACAATATAAAAAACCAGAAGTTTGCAAACTATAAGTTGTACATGAGGTGTTTCATTCAGATGGAAATGCTGCAGCCAAGAATGTCTGTACTTGGCCCAACATTCATGCAGTTCAAGATCATTTTGAGCAGGGTTTGATTACCTACAAAGCCCTAAACGGTTTGGGACCTGCCTATCTTCGTGATTGCATCTTCCCCTATGAACTAACATGAACCCTAAGATCATCTGGGGGAGGCTTTCCTCTCGCTTCCACCTCCAACTCAGGCACGGTTGGTGGGGATGAGGGAGAGGGCCTTCTCGGTGGTGGCCCCCAGGCTCTGGAACTCTCTTCCTAGGGAGATCAGACTGTCACCTACCCTGTCCTCCTTCCACAAGAACCTAAAAACATGAAAGTTCCTTTGTGCCTTTGATTAGGCAGTTCCAAAGAATTGGCCCTTTAATAGCTAAGTTCTGGCACTTTAGCATGGCCCTCCGCAGTACAATCCTGACATTATAAAGCCCAAGGACATTATGCTCCCATCCCTGCCAATGAATTTTGCACTTTCCCTTAGCTCTATCTAGGAATTTTACACAAACTCAGAGCCCTCTGAACTCAGCACTTTTATTGCTCCCATGGTAAATGTTTTCATGATGTTACGTTTTATTGTGATATGTTTCTATTTGGTTTTCCTTTGTTTTTATTTCATTGCATTACATTTTAACTCTGTGCTCTCTGGACTTGTCCATTTGTTAGCCGCCTCAAGTCCCTTCAAGAGATGGAGGCAGGGTATAAAAATAAAGTTATTATTATTATTATTACCAGAAACTAGAGCTAATGTGCTCTATCCAATACAATTTTCTGAATCAGCACCCCAAATAACCAAACCAAATCTAAAATTGACCAAAAACTGATTTGTAACCCTTTTGGTACTAATGTTGGAGAATGGTCCCTGTTCAAGTGGTCCCTGGTCAAAAAAAGGTTGGGAACCACTGTACTAGAGAGTGTGCTAAAAAAAAGTTTTTAAAAAGTAATATTATTTTAATTATATTTTATATTGTAGACCAAATAAGTTACTAATACATCCACTGAGAACCACAATTGGTCCATGAGAGAAAAGGTCGGAAGGCTGAGAATGACACCTGCTGCCATAGGAGTAATGCTTTGCACACCCCAGAACAGGGCAGGTGATGCTTTAGTTTGATAAACCTTTCCTCCTGAATTCTTCAGAGGCATCTCCACTTCCAATGTAAATAATGTTAAGACTGAAATAATTCCCTTTGAGATCATGTCTGGTCCACAAAATAAACACCATGAAGCATTATTGTACTGTGAACTAAGAAGCCTTTGTTCTTGGATACACTAGGCAAGTGGGTTAATAATTCCCGGAACTTCCAGTAACTTAGAAATTGCAACCCTAAATGACGCCTCATTACAACTGCTTTCCCTGGCTTGATATTGTATGAGATTTAAAATGAATATGAAACACAGTCTATGAATATTTAACATACTCTTATCTGTTATATCCGGCTCACCAAAGTTAATTTCTCAGACTTCAAATCCCAAACGTTCTCAATCAACATGACCTATGCTCTTGGCCTCATTATTGCCTTGTTTAGCTAGCCAAAAAGGCTGCACACAAAGAATTGCAATTTCCATTATGCCAATCTTAAGTCTCACTTACCTTCTGTGGGAATATCTCTGCCAAAGGACTCTTGACTTTGTAGGAAAACAGAAGTGCTCCCATTTATTGCAAGGACAACTTCTTTATTGTAAATTGGTGGCAGATTGTGACTTCCATGAACCAAAGTTTTAGTCTAAACTTTAAAATAGCTACCCAAACTAAACGGTTGGGGCCCTGAACTCACAAGTATGAATAGCTTCTCTAAAGTTCAGACTAAAACCCAGAGTGGATTCTCTGACCCACTGACAGGAAACCTCCCTCTCTTTTATAACTTATGTACAGAGTGTACAAACATACATTAAAAACTATATTGTAGCACCCTGCAACAAGATGGTACCTCCATCATCCTTTAAATAAGCATTTCCCAACCTGGGGGTCAGGACCCCTGGGACAGTCGTGAGGGGGGTGTCAGAGGGATCGCCAAAGACCATCAGAAAATACAGTATTTTCTGTTGGTCATGAAGGTTCTGTGTGGGATGTTTGGCCCACTTATACTGTTGGTGGGATTCAGGGTGCTCTTTGATTGTAGGTGAACTATACATCCCAGCAACTATAACTTCCAAATGTCAAGGTCTATTTTCCCCAAACTCCACCAGTGTTCATATTTGGGCATATTGAGCATTTTTACAAAGTTTGATCCAGAGCCAACATTTTTTGAGTCCACAGTGCTTTATAGATGTAGATGAACTACAACTTCAAAACTGAAAGTCAATGCCCACCAAACCCTTCCAGTATTTTCTGTTGGTCATGGGAGAACTGTGCGCCAAGTTTGGTTCAATTCCATCGTTGGTGGGGTTCGGAATGCTCTTTGATTGTAGGTGAACTCTAAATCCCAGCAATGACAACTCCCAAATGACAAAATCAACCTCCCTCTAACCCAGGGGTCCTCAAACTTTTTAAATAGAGGGCCAGGTCACGGTCCCTCAAACTGTTGGAGGGCCGGATTATAATTTGAAAAAAATTATGAAAGAATCCCTATGCATATTTCACATATCTTATTTGTAGTTCAAAACCCACTTAAAAACAATACAATAATTAAAATGAAGAACAATTTTAACAAATATAAATTTATTAGTATTTCAATGGGAAGTGTGGGCCTTCTTTTGGCTGATGAGATAGGATTGTTGTTGTTGTTGTGTGCTTTTGAGTCGTCACAGACAGGTTGACCCTGAGCGAGGGCCGGGTAAATGACCTTGAAGTTGATATATTGAAATCATGATTTCAATCAATTTGACTAACTTTTTTCAAATTGATTTCAGCGGCTCTGGATATAACACAATGAAGTTAATGTTTGGGTATTTCCATTCTCAACCTCAAATTCTAAATCCTTGTAAATATTTGTTATCAATTCACAATCCTTGTAAACCATTTTTACACCACTGGAGAAATTATACTGTTTAGCCGGTACTGTACCACCCGACATCCACTGGGAAGTAGCAGTAGCTGGCCACTTGGAGTGCCTCAGGTGTTGCTATAAGAATGTCCTCCATTATGCACATGGCAGGGCTCAGACTGCATTGTAATAGGTGGTCTATGGTTTTCTCTTCTCCACACTTGCATGTCGTGAACTCCACTTTGTGGCCCCATTTCTTAAGGTTGACTCTGCATCTCGTGGTGCCAGAGCGTAGTCTGTTCAGCACCTTCCAAGTCACCCAATATTCTTTGTACCCAGGAGGGAGTCTCTCATTCAGTATCAGCCATGGCTTGAGGTTCCAGGTTTTAGCCTGCCACTTTTGGACTCTTGCTTGCTGAGGTGTTCCTGCAAGTATCTCTGTAGATCTTTAAAAATATTTCTTGATTAAGGGCATTGGTGTGCTGGCTGATATTTGAACAGGGTATGGGCCAGAGATGTCCCTGCCTTGGTCCTTTCATTGTTGGCTGCTGCTTCCCGGTGGATGTCAGATGGTGCAATACCGGCTAAACAGTATAATTTCTCCAGTGGTGTAAAAATGGTTTACAAGGATTGTGAATTCATAACAAATATTTACAAGGCTTTAGAATTTGAGGTTAAGAATGGAAATACCTAAACAGTAACTTCACTGAGTTACATCCAGACCCACCGAAATCAATTTGAAGAAGGTTAGTCACATTGATTGAAGTCATGATTTCAATTTGTCAACTTCAAGTATGATCACTTCTCGATCAAATTCACTGAGGGTATTCAGTACTAAGTAAACCTTATTAGGGGATTACTAGGCCAATATTTCTTTTAATCCCCTAAGAAACTAGCTGCACAAGAAAACCATTTTCAACATTAATCAGTTTCATTACTTTAAAAGCTACAGAATCTCATATCAGTCTGGAACTACATCTTATGACAAACTTTGAAAAAGGGGTGACATATTTTCTTCTTTGTGGCGAAAACTTTCATCCTTGTCCATTGCTTTTCCACCTTCTCCCCTTTGGTCCAATGAAATTTTCCACTAAATGAAGCTGCATCCATTGCCTCATTTGAGTTCTTCCCTTTCCCATGCACCCAAAAAGCCATTGTGCCCTTTGCACATGACTGCATCCCTTTCAAAAGGGTGAGAGGTGAGCAATGCTAACAGCTGTTATGAAACAAGTGGGATTGCTTCCAGCAAAAGTACTGTTATGTTTGGGTTGCACGCTCCGTCATCCCTGCATGCTACTAACTTAAACTTGAGCCAGATCAACATCCTTGTGCTCTAACTATATATATGTATATATCTCAAGTCAGACCTTGGAAAAGTTCAGAATGATAGTTCTCAATATCCAACAACATATCCACTGTGCTTAAGACTTAGCAGTTTAAAACTGTTTCTCAAAACTCTACTCAAGATAATTTCCTTCAGCTCTATTTCATGTTCATCGCTGACCCAACATAGGGATTCATCTCTGCCGGAGAAAACAACATGGAAAGCAGTTTTTCTGCAATAATGGGGTACAATATTGATATTTCATTTTGAGCTATTGCAGTACAAGTCATCATGCAAAACAGATTCTACCTAAACATAAAGAAGAACTTCTCAACAGTAAGACTGTTCAGCTGTGGAGTATGCTGTCTCAAAGCGTGGTGGTTTCCCTTCTTAGAATTTTTTTGTGGGCTGGGGTTTAGCATAGTGATCAAAACTGCTAGCTGCAGAAAATCTTGCTGATCAAAAGGTTGGCAGTTTAAGCCCAGGTTGGGGTGAGCTCCCAACTGTCAGCCCAGCTTCTGTTCACCTAGCAGCTTGAAAACAGCAATGTGAGTAGATAAATAGGTACCACTTTGGCAGGGAGGTAATAAAAGGTGCTCATGTGGACAATCAGGAGGACATCTAAGGACAACAAATCTCTTCAACATGGAAGATGGAGCAACCTCCCCATGACCAAAGTCGAGCACAGCCTCCAGATGACGGAGATGGAAAAAGATGGGAAGCCTTTACCTCTGTTTCTGAACTGTCTTGTCTTTGTCAAATGCATGACATTGAATGTTTGCCGTATGTGTACTGTAATCCAACCTGAGTCCCCTCGGGGAGATAGGGTGGAATATAAATAAATTATTAAGCAGAGGTTGGATGGCCATCTGTTGGATGTGCTTTGTTTGTGTCTTCCTGCATGGCAGAAGTGCGTTGGACTGGGTGGTCCTTGGGGTCTCTTCCAACTTATGATTCTATGCTAAGACACAACAGAAATTCAGACATTCTTGAAGCGCCTTTTGTTTACTCAATAAATAAGTAAAACTTCTGTCAAGAAAGTTAATTTCAGTCTGGTGATGATGGCATTGGTACAGTTCTTCAAACATCATGAAATGTGTGGTTACTTAATTTCACCTTGGATGCCAAGGTAGCCATCATAATTTGTTGTGGCCTACACTATAAAACTACAAAACTTTGCAACAACTAAACCTTGTATGAGTGAACCCTTTTTGAATAGTACTCAATTAGAGAAGTCACTGCCACTTTAAATACATTTGAGTCCAAGTGGAAAGTTTTGAGAGAGCTCTTGCAATGCTGTGAATCCCAAGTATAAATGAGAGCCGACATTTGTAGCATTAGACTAATTAGGCATTCATGCTTTAAAGCCATTACAGATGAGAAACATAACAAAGCACTTCTGGGGTTGGGCGTTTTGAAAAGGACCATAATAAATCCCCACCTCTCATGGATAATTCTTCCCCTCTGAAATGAAATTTCATTGTTTACTTTTATTACAAAAACCACCACGCTTTCAGAAGAGAACTATTAACTTTTGTTTAAACCATATCATTTACGTTTGTGACCACAGACAGACAAAGTACAGGAGTCATTTTTCAAATTTTATTCATGCTGTGACAAAACCCACAAGATAGGTCTCAGTGAATTTAACAATACTTACCCAAAGAAAGTCTGCACAGCATTAAAAAGGCCTAAATCCAAGTGCTAGTTCTGACTAAAGCAGACCCGTTGAATTAGAGGGCTATAATAATTGTTCAACCGTCTTGGTGCATCTACACTGTGGAATTAATGCAGTTTGACACCACTTTAGTTGCCATGGCTCAGTGCTATGGAATCATGGCAGTTATAGTTTTGCAAGTCTTTAGCCTTTGCTGCCACATAGTGTTGGTGCCTCGCCAAACTATATGGCAGTAGGTTTCCATAGCATTTAGCCATGACAGTTAAAGTGAAGTCAAACTGCATTAATTGTACAATGCATATGCACCCTCAGCAACAGACTCAAAGGAACTAGCAACTGAATTCAGACCAAGGTGACTCCCCATTGCTTTTGCAATGGACGTTGGGAAATACCTAAAGACTTAACTTTTCATTAGAGAATCCATAATGCCTCCACAGTTTTCAGGACTAATCTAAAAGTTTCCATTTTCATTTTTTCATTTTCTTATTCCTAAGATAAACTTGCCTGAGGCACTTTATTCTTCTACCTCTTCAGAAAAAAACTAAGGCAATCAGGGTTATTTATGAATGCACCAAGGATAATTCTTTAATTCTTTGGGGAGATGGGGAGTGTTTAGGCAAGGTACATCCCATCCTCAATGTGGCTCCATCTCTTGGCTCACTTGCTCTAACTCTGCTTACAAACCACAAAGCCACCTAGTGCAGGAATTGGCAAAATGCAGCCCATTGAGTCGGCATCGCCCTGCCAAGGTCTGCCCTTCACTTAAAGAAAAAGCTATCTGCACTTTAAACAGCAACGCAGGAAGAGACTGCAAAATCTTTACCTTATTCTTGCCACTGAGTTCTGAATTAAAAGGGAGAGGGGCAAAGATACATGATCAAGTCAAGGCACTGCAGCAGCTGGCATTAAGTCCCTTGCTGGGAAACAAGACCTGGCAGGAACCCAGCAATGGCAAGGTCTGTTTATGCCCACCTGTCAAGCTAAATGTGTTTCAGTAAGAAACATTTTACTATTCTTTTGTATCTCCAAAGAATATTAAAGGAGTGCAGAACTCAGCATAACAGCTATTTCTTTGAAGGAGGAGGCAAAGAGAGGGATCCACACATTAAAAACTTAAAATAAATGCAGTTAACACTGTTTTAACTGCCATAACTCAAGGCTTTGCAATCCTGGGAGTTGAAGTGTGATAAAGCTTTTATACTCCTCTGCTAAATACTGCTGGTACTTCACCAAACTATAGTTCCCATGATCTGATAGCACTGAGGCACAGCACTTAAAGTGGTGTCAAATTGCATTAATTCAACAGTCTTGGGGTGACTATAGTCATATTTAAGACGTATGCCCCACATATTGCAATGGGTCGTATACTCTACATATCCAGCCCAATACCTCCAAAATATCTGGATGTACAAAGATAATACTGAACTTTTCCAACAAGCAGAAACATCTAGAAAAAAAGAAATAAACACAAAAGCAATCCTGTTTAAATATAATAGTTTAAGTGCTAAACAATGATATAAAGATACATTTGTTATCATACAAATCAATCAGCTTTCAGTTAACAGCAGGAAAAAGGTTCGATACCAAAAATGTAATTCATTTCACGTTAACAGCAGGGTTTCCCAATGTCCTATGAGGACTGTATGGCAATGAAAGATACCAAAACAAGCAGGAAGGAACAGAAAGTCCATCTCTTCCTTCAGAATGCTACTAAGCAAGTTCACGTTTTCAAATTCATCAGCAATGCCACAAAAAAACTTCAAAATCGATGTAGCCTCAAATTTGAGGAAGAAATACTTGCAGTGCTTTGATAGAACTGTAACGAAGAAGAAAAATGTGCTTTTATTTATTGAACACCATAATTATCAAATATATCACATTCTAAACACACAACTAGAGTTCACTGGATCACAATTATTCCACAAACACTTCATTACAAGAAGAAACATGTGAGCAAAGTTTAACCATGTTAAGCAGACAAAATGTTTGGTTAAGAATGAAGTGAAGCATCAAGAATCTGCTTGAAAGGTTATATATGTTAAGCATCAGCTATATATTGCTGGTTGAGAGAAAATAAAAGGAATTAAGCCCCTTCTTCAAAATTAAGATATTAATTATTGAGAATGACCCACAATGACAAGAGCCAACAAATTTTACTTTCGAACTGCAGTTATCAATGCAACACAAAAGTGAGCTTAGTTAGGAATGTTGGACTGGGCCTTGGTTGATCAAGTTCTTAATAAAACCATGGAACTCCATCCTATTAATTAACATCCTATGGAAACTTTCTGATAGTGCATGGGGTGAAGACCCAAAATGAATAAGAACAGCCCTGACCATGTCTTATAGAATTGCTGAGTATGCCCGCCCCTTCTGCCATAAATCTGCCCACATGAAGCAGGTGAATATAGCACTAAATGAAACATGTAGGACAATCACACAATGTCTTAAACCTACACCTGTTGACAGACTCTGTAAGCTAGCTAGTATTCCCCCCACCCCGGGGAGGTGCTTCTTGGGTGGTGTTAGCTGGCTATCAGTATTAAAAAAAAACTCTAAAATAGGGACAGTAAATAAAGAGGAACACCCAAAAAGCAGGGGAATTCCAGACAAGAATCAATCAAGGCCAGCTAACACTTCCCAACAAAAGATTACCCCTTGAAACTGCAAGACCATTAAATGTTAATCAAGGTGGCCATTTGCCACATTCATACCCACCTCTAGCAGACAAGAGTCCATTCTCCCACCCCGAACATTCCAGATATATAAACCTCACTTGCCTAGTTTCCAACAGAGCTCACAACCTCTGAGGATGCCTGCCATAGATGTGGGTGAAATGTCAGGAGAGGATGCTTCTGGAACATGGCCATACAGCCCGGAAAACCCACAGCAACCCAGATTTGGGACAATTCACAATGAGAGGTTGCCATGATTTGTTTTGGACAGACACAATTTATCTAAAGCCCAGCAATACTGTTTCTGCCTTTCTTCCAAATGGAGAAAAACAAAAGAACATCTTTGCAGGCCCTCTGAACCAGGAAGCTGCAATCCAATTATCTGGAGTCTACGTGGATACTTTGTCTTTGAGCTTCCTCTATCAAATGCAAACTTCATACAGTTAGTCCCCAACACATCTAATATACCATGTTTCTAATTCAAAGAAACTTAAAAATTGAGATGTGGGCTAGTTTTTTATTGGAAAATATTTCTGGCAGACAAAAATTTAGGCAATTCATATGTCAGCTAGAGCTTTTAGTTTACCAAATACAGGAGACAATTAGCACTATTCCAGCTCCATGAAAAATGCCTGGAGCATTCTACTTGGGCTCAAGCAAACAGGAATATTGCATCTTTTCAGGTTTAGCTGCTCAACATAACAGGCTGGACACTGGGAGAGATGTAGCAGGTAGAACCAACATGTTTGACACCATTGCTCTACACCAGTAGCCTTCAGAGAAACATCTGGACAAAAAAAATATCAGGAAGCATTCTATAGATATTTTCCTAAACCTCTGATAATCAAATATCAGACAAAATGAAATTCTGATGAGAAATGGATCGTAGTGTGCAAGCATGTGTGCAGTGATCTGGGGCTTGTTTCTTTTACACACACAATTGCAACAAGTCACATAATATCTAAACTCACCTAACTGTTGTGCTGAGTTTAAATACTCTTCTAACCTGCTGCCTGCTTAGAACCAGCAGCAGGAAGCTCCAGGCTGTCAAGTTGTTGAAGACTGCCAGTTTGAACAAGCCATTCAGAGAACTTTTTCTCCACCAACACCTGGAATGCCTTCCTCTGGTCTCTGAAACACATTAAAATATTAGCATGGTGGTAAGTGCCACTTTGTGCATATTATCATTCGTTTCTCTCAGTGCTTAAAAGGCCAACTGCTTTATCCAGTGAATCCAATAATTCCCAGTGAAAATGTTTGCTTATGCATAATGGCCAAAAGTCTAGGTTAACATCAGAAATTATCATTCTTCCTTATTTCTACACTATTTTAAGATTTTTATCCTGTTACATGGTTTACATCATGTTAGCTTGACTAACTGTTTAAAACATGTAACAATAATAAAAAGTTTACAAAACTAAAGTTTTAAAATAATATAAAAAACACAGAATCAACAGAACATATGAACGATTGTAGTAATATATCCCAATTTTATTGTTTCAGTGGTGGTTGTAATAGTATTAAGATAAATAATATAGTAAATAGTGAAGCGTATTGTACAGTTGCACAGACATTCTTTGGCCTTGCTCATATAAATACAGACTTTCCTTATACTGCCTGTGAAATTATGAAAGCCAAAAACTATTTGAAATACTATCAAGAGTCATGACAAGTGACATCTTGTCATGACTTGTCACATAGCTCTTAAGGCAGCAAGTGACCATGCCAAACCAATCAAGTCTATATCTAGTTTCTTTGGGTTCAACAGGCAAAAAGGTTATAGACACACTGACTGATTCTATGGATGCATACTCAGAATTACTGTATATACTCGAATATAAGCCAACCCAAATATAAACTGAGACACCTAATTTTACCACAAAAAAACTGGGAAAATGTTTTGACTTGAGTATTAGCTTAGGGTGGGAAATGCACCAGCTACTGGTAAATTTTTTTAAAAAATAGATACAAATAAAATTACATTAAGTGAGGCATCAGTAGTTTTAAATGTTGAATATTTGTTTGAATGTTTGAATTGTTTATGAGATTTATTTTAACTGTTGTATTGATTGTTTTCTTATTGCTTTTACTGTTGATGTACTTTGGGCTCCGGCTCGTGTAAGCCACACCCAGTCCCTTGGGGAGATGGTAGCAGGGTATAAATAAAGATTATTATTATTATTATTATTATTATTATTATTTACATAAATCTGTAATTTAAGAGAAGACTGTCCAACTCTGATTAAACCGATATTCTAACCATCTTCAATGTAAATGTGCTTAAGTATCTTTCCAATAATAATAAATGTAATAAAAATAATAATGGTAGAGTAAAATAATAAATGTAATAATAAAGGTAGAGTAAAATAATAAATGTAATAACAATAATAAATAGAGTAAAATAGTGGAATGTAATAACAGTAATAATAGAGTAATATAATAAATTTAATAATAATAATAATAATAATAATAATATCTGAGAAAAATAATAAATAAGTTTGACTGGAGTATAAGCCGAGGGGGGGCTTTTTCAGCCTTAAAAAGGGCTGAAATCTCAGCTTATACTTGAGCATATACGGTAAGTCCCTGGGTCTTAATGTCAGGCAATTGTTCACTAGACTGCAGCCTACAGAAAATATAAAGAGGAGTATCATCCCCTTTAGCAGCTTGTTAAAGCAACAGACTCACTTGAACTTTAGTGCTGTTTGACGGACTTGACTGGATGCTCAAAATTTCATTCACCAATTTAAAATCTTTCTAAGATTTGTGAGTTACATAACTTAATGAAACAGATTATCAGATAGTCCAAACCAGAGACAGACTTAAGTAATATTTTATTATTACATTATTATTATACTATGTTTTACTATTACAATATTATTAGTGTCTTGGTCCAAAACTGCTATAGCAACTGGCCTCTCCCTCTTTAAAGAAAGCTGTCACTTACTTTGTCAAGCCTGCTTTTTTCACAGTTTTCTGCCAGATCCGGATTCTCTGTTCTCGTTGACTTTGTGCCTTTTGATATGCAGGTGGCAATCCCCCAGGTATTTCTGTTGTGTCTCCTTCCATTTCAAATGGAACAACAAAGGGATAAAATTCCAAGGGTGGAAGGAGTTTAAACAGATCTTTCTCATAGTTTTCTCTGCATACTAACATGGGATTATCCCAGTAATTAGGAACTGTAGCCAATCCTGACCTCGCCATGTGGTCTTCAAGCATTGGATAATGGGTGTGGAACGGGGCAAAAGTTATTGCTTGGTTGCCAAGTAAGATAAGAGGTCGAGTTGGAGTGAGAACATGCAAGATACAATTGGTAGTTTTGGAAAGAGAAAGACGGTGACAAACAACAATAACTTTGACATTGTCACAGCTATGGAGGTGAACAACCGTTCGTACTGGACCCAGAACAAAGGTACTATTCCTGCATTTCTCTATTGTCACAGACCTGAAAGAGAGAGAGATGAAGTTCATTAATGCCAAAGGGGAAAGAGGGAAATCCCACAAAGACTGAACATCTTTGAAATAAGATTACTGAGGCTGCCTGAAGCAACCCAACTCACCTCAAGGGAGACAGCAAATAGATGAAGGATTCACAGCAGCGATGAATCTTGACATGGGTATCTTCTAAGGTACTGGAGCTCTTTGCCAGTGTTTGCTTATAAACTTGGCTCATCACAACTATGCGGTGTCCTGGAGGAACCATGTCAGTATTACAGGCTATCTTGGCTCGTTTGGTTGCTCCTTCAAGTGTAACAATAAATTAAAAGTAAAAACAATTTTAAAAATTATAATGTAAGTCAGTTTAAGCCAAAACTATCCATAACAATCATGTGTTTTTCGTTCACCAACAGTCCCAGAGTCAACAAGCAGACTTTCATTAAGAGGCATCCAGAAACACATTTAAGCCTCTCTACGTTTATTTCTGATATAAAGTTCAGCACAAAAAGGAATTTCTAGTAAGAAAAGAGCTAAAACAAGGTCATTTATTACCACAATAAAGAAACCATAAGTTATCATGTCATTCAGTTATACACCTATATGCCTTACGTGCATATACAATACATTTCCCTGAAGCTTGTAAACTGTATAAGCTCATGTATAAGTCAAGTTTGGGGACCAGAACTATGGATTTTGATATGACCCATGGATAAGTTGAGGGTTATTCTGCAGAGGGGAAAACACAAATGCTAACTTGGGGGCTAGCCACCCTGGTCATTGGCATCATCATTTTCCCACTCAAGCATTCAAAAAGTCCAAAAGCATCATCATGGCAGATCAGAGTGCAGGCAAACAATRCACAAGTATCTATAATGACATAGAACAGAAATGTATGTATGTAAATCTAAACAGACTCTCAAGAAAGTAATATACCACAGTATTCTGTGTTCTCTATTAGCATAACTTGTCTGAGACTTTATAGCATTAAACAAAAATGTTATCAGCACATTATGCACATTATCATAGAGAAATAAACAACAGACTAAAGATAATAAAGYCCATCCTTTCAGTGAAGGAATTCAAGGTCTCTATCTTTATCTTCAAAAGAATTCTTCTTTTGGCAAGACAGTCTCAAGGAATTCTTCTTAGGCAACACAGTCTTTCTTAGGCAACAAAATCTCWACAAGGTCTTCCGGTATGTTATCCTTGTTTCGAACARATATCTTCCTCAGRGTGTAGWCTGTTATAATATTATGCTTAGTGCACTAAATAGGGAGTAGAAATAACATACACAATAGATACATGAAACTCCCAAAATAACATTGCTAGAAAAACAGTTTGTAATAACAGTAAAGAAACACGCTACTCTACTTACATTCTCTTCAATAATACAGGCTCTGTTGTAGTAGGAGTTCTATAACGAGCAATGAGTCATAGCCAGGCTGTCACTTAAGTAGAATTACATCTCACAAGAAACAAGTGTATTCAATTTTGTCATTTAGTCCTAGAGGAACCAGTGTTTGTAGTTTAAAGATCCAATAAGATTCCCTTTGCAGAAGGAGTTTTTTTACATCCGCATTTGATCTGGGTAATATTTTTTCCAAAGCACAAAATTTAAAGCTATGGTGTGTATGTGCTTTTTCATTAAAATGTACATATAGTGAAGAGTCAGTGGACCCATTCCTTATGCGTGAACGATGTTCATTTATCCTAATTTTAAGGTGTCTAGTAGTTATACCAACATATAATAATTTGCAGGGGCATTCTAATAGGTACACTACATTATCACTGGAACATGTTGTCAAATGTTGTAATGTGACATTGATGTTGAGTGTAGGATGAGAGTATATTTTACTCTTAAGTGATTGTTGGCAGCAGTTACAATGTCCACAGCTAGTGTGCCCCCTAGAGGTGGGTTCATGGGATGTATTAGGAGAGTTATATTCAGAGTGGATCATGAGGTCCCTTAAATTTCTGGATCTTTTGTGGGCAATTATAGGTTTGTCTTTGCATCCAGGAATGTCCTGTAGTAAATGCCAGTGTTTTGAAATAATCCTAGTGATTTTGGATGAGTATTGTGTCAATGTCAAGGGCCATATTATGCGGTTGTTATGTTTTCTAGGACGTTCCTGTAGTAATTCCCTTCTGTTGATGGAGTTTGCCTTGCTCATGGCTGTGTTGAGTATCCTATTAGGGTATCCTCTCTCTCTGAGTTGTTTTTTCAGGATACCTGCTGTAGATTCAAAGTCCTTTTGTGTGCTAGAATTACGTTTCAGTCTTAAAAACTGAGAAAATGGTAAATTGGATTTAAGAGAAAAGTGATGAAAGCTGGAAAAATGTAAAAAAGAATTCTTATCTGTAGGTTTACTATAATTTTTCACTAATAGTTTCTGACCATTTTTGAAAACCATGACATCCAAAAAGTTAACATTAGTAGGGCTACAGTGGTGTGTAAATTTCATGTGTTTGTGTAGTGTATTAATCCAGCTGTAAAATAGGTCAGCTGCTGACTGTGATCTCACTACTGTAAATATATCATCTAGATACCTTCCAAAGTAAAGGATATCTGAAGAAAATGGATTCTTAGTAGTATTAAAGATGAATTTATTTTCTAAATATGCAACAAATAAGTTGGCTATAGCGGGTGCTAGTGGGCTGCCCATAGCGATTCCAAATGTTTGTAAATAAAATTGTTTATCAAAACTAAAATAGTTGTATTCTAGCACAATGTCCAGTAAATCCATGAGGAAGTGTGTGGGAGGGACTGGGGATTTGCGTGTGTCAAGTATATCTTTAACTACTGCTCTGGCCTCATCTAAAGGTATGTTTGTATAAAGGGCTTCAATATCTAAGGTCATGAGTATGGCTTGCTCAGGTATAGTTAGGGCTTCTATTATATTGATAAAATGTTTGGTGTCTTTGATAAATGATGTATTTAATGGTACAAAGGGTTGCAAAAAATGGTCAATAAACTGGGCTAAAGGTTCCAAAATAGATGCAGTGCCTGAGACTTTATAAACTTATTTTCATTGCCATACTAAATACCATATTCCATTGCATAATACTCACTTTTTTCCGTTTTTTGAAAGGGGGGGGGGCTATTGCACGAGCGGAAAAAAGCCTTTTTGTTCCGAAATAGTAACAGTTTAATAATACGAATTTGAGAAAACATATAAGAGTGTCCAGTGTCCAAGATTTACCCCTATTATATTAGTATTCATGATCATCAGATCTCTTATCTAAATTGAGTTGGGTTTTACTTTTGTAAGGGTTGTTTATGTTCGTTATTGTCTTGTTACTAATGTTGATATATTTTACTTGTATTTTATGTGTTTATAGCACTAATATGTGCTGTTTTGTAAACTGCCCTGAGTCCCTTTGGGAGATAGTGGTGGGATAGAAATAAAATTGATGTTGTTATTATTATTACTCTGTGGATGAAGGCAACCTCCACAATATAAACAGTCCAGAGTTCCCTCCAAGTGTCTTGCTGTCTTGCCCTAAAGAGCTTGACAGCTTGCCAGCCCCTTTTAGCTAGGGCACATCATTCACTTGCCGTTTCATCCACCCAAAGCCCCACCTGCCCACCATCTGATTCATTTATTCACCCACCCACTAACCCATTCATCCACTCATCCTTCCACCCAGCCAACCACTCATGTATACACTTGCATGTTCACTCCCTTTCAAGAGCTTGAAGTAGCATTCCTGGGAGGGGATGTGTAAGTAGATAGATTGGCATGCGAGTGAATGCATGAGTATGTAGGTGGCTGGGCAGTTGAGTATCTTGATCTGCTTAAATCTGCATTCCTGGAAGAGAACAATAAACTGTTTACAGTGGAAAGATGGTGTAAATCATAGGCGTGACTATTATGTGAGGAACTGTAAAACACCAAAAACAGACCCTGAAAAGGAAGTTCAACTATTATGTGATGGCAACTGTTATGTAACGAAATATGATATTCTTTCTTGTGAACTGACATTCAACTGGCCCCTGGTGGTGCAGTAGGTTAAACTGCTGAACTGCTGAACTTGCTGACTGTAAGGTTGGTGGTTCGAATCCGGGGAGCATGGAGAGCTCCCACTATTAGACCCAGCTTCTGCCACCCTAGCAGTTTGAAAACATGCAAATGTGAGTAGATCAATAGGTACCGCTTCTGCAGGAAGGTAAAGGCATTCAACGCAGTCATGCTGGCCACATGGCCTTGGAGGCATCTATGGACAACTCTGGCTCTTCGGCTTAGAAATGGAGATGAGCACCACCACCACCACCACCCCCCTTCTGGGTTGGACACGACTAGACTTAATGTGAAGGGGAAACGTTTGCCATTGCCTTTTACTGACATTCAACTGGCAATTTAATCTAAAACTCTTTTGACAGTGAGTATTGTAAGTAATAAGAGTAATAATAACAATGATTAGACCAATTGTGAAAGTGACAACTTATCAAGTAGAAAGTGAGACATAACGCAATCCATTCTAAATGCAATTTGTTCATAAATGGTTAACAGATTCTATCTTTACAGTACATAAATAAAATGAAAGGAAAAAATGCTTAAATGACAGATCTGATGACCACAGATAACTGTACCTTGTTGTGCCCATGAAAGTTTCTTTCCAGACTTGAGGCAGGCTGATGTTCCAAATGGGTTGCTGGTAAGACAAGCCCTCAACCATGACTCTAGTTTGGGGAAAGAGAAGGTTTTGGAGGTCTTTGAGTAGCCAGTCTTGGCTTGTAATGGCTGCCAGAGTGCAAGCTTGTGCAAACTGTGAACAGTCCTGCTTTTGTTCACACACCCTTTAATAAGAAAGCCAAGTGCTCGGACAGCTTCAGAAGACACCATACTATCATGGGTAGAGTGAAGGGAGGCAGTGAGTTGATCCGGGTCCAGCAACAATTCCAGAAGATCCTGCAGATGGTTTTGAACAAACTCTTCATGGTAGTTGTCATTCCAATTCTAACACCAAAAGAACACAATGAAGAAAAATCATTATACATGGGAAAGATTTTCACAAAACCAAAATACTAGTCTGGTAGCTATTATTCCACTTCTCACACCAAAAGAACACAATGTAGAAAACCCACTATACACAGGAAGGATTTTCACAAAACCAAAATACTTGTCTTTTAAGCCTATCCACTAACAGCTTTAAGGTGAAAATAAATTCTCCTTCCAAGACAAAGGCAGATCCCCTGTAGGGAAAAAATCTTGCCAAGTAACCCCTTTTATAGAGTCGTCATATATCAGAAATGATTTGAAGACACACAAAAACAACAATGAAGGAGGTGGCTACACTTCAACCCACTACATTTCTTGTCATTCACAATGGAGGGTCAAGTAGATGAGTTATGTAGTCCAACAAATCCACAAAACCATTATAAACTATCTATAGGATGATCTTTCTGGCACTTGTCTTACATTGAAGAAGACTGTATATGCATGTACACATGTTTGGGCAAACACAAATATAATTCAGATGGAGATTCCATCTGAACATGAGGAAGAACTTCCTGACTGTGAGAGCCGTTCAGCAGTGGAACTCTCTGCCCCGGAGTGTGGTGGAGGCTCCTTCTTTGGAAGCTTTTAAACAGAGGCTGGATGGCCATCTGTCAGGGGTGATTTGAATGCAGTATTCCTGCTTCTTGGCAGGGGGTTGGACTGGATGGCCCATGAGGTCTCTTCCAACTCTTTGATTCTATGATTCTATGATTCTTACAAACGTTTTTGTTTTCCACCAAACACACAAAGTGCAGCTGAATTTTATGCATATCTACCTCGAAATAAGTCTGGTGCAATGTTTTCAGGCTCAGGTCTTTCAATTCAAATTTTTAATATACTAAAGCAAATGTAGAAATTTTATGGGCCTCCAGATGCAGCTAAACTGCACAGCACTCCTCGCCATTCACTATACTGGCAAGGGCTGGTAAGTTAGTCTAACATCTGGGAGACTCCACAGCCCCCTCCTCTGCCCTAAAGAAGATACAGAAGCCCATTTAGTGATGACTTTATTTCAATCACTGTCACTCACTAGAAAAATCCCTTCCTTTGATCTCAGCAACCCCAATTAGGATTCTTTGGCAGGATTCTTCCCCATAGACCAGTGGATCAGCTGAATTATAGAGAAAGGCAGCTGGGATTGCAGAATCAGCAACAGAGAGCTACCTACAAATCATGGTCTCCTGGATGTGCACTTATTGCTGTTCTTGTTCAAGTCATTCCTGGCTTTTGGTGGCTCTAAAATAAACGTATTACAAGGCTTTCTTCCCAATATTTTTTCAGAGAGAGTCAAGTTTGGCTGTTTTCTGAGACTGAAAGCATATGATTTGCGTAAGGTCACACAGTGGGTTTCCAGAGCCAAGTGGGGATTTGAATTCTGGTGTCCCTGAATTCTAATCCAATATCCAAACCACTACACCATGCTGACTCTTCTGTGCACCCATACACACAATTAAAACCAGATTTTAAAAGCAGGATATGCTGAATGGCAGTTTAGTGCTGTGTCTTAATCCAATGATCTTTATACTGGTTTCTTTAAATGTGTGTATATTGATTAATATACATATACTTTTTTAAAAAAAAAATCTAAAGATGGTTAGAAGAATCTTAATACCACTTCTCTTCAAGTTATCACAAGGAATGGAGCCGTGGTGGCGCAATGGGTTAAACCCTTGTTCTGGCTGAACTGCTGACCTGAAGGTCGGTGGTTCGAATCCATGAGATGGGGTGAGCTACCGTCTGTCAGCTCCAACTTCCCATGCGGGGACATGAGAGAAGCCTCCACAGGATGGTAACACTTCCGGGCATCCCCTGGGCAACATCTCTGCAGACGGCCAATTCTCTCACACCAGAAGCAACTTGCAGTTTCTCAAGTTGCTCCTGACACGATTAAAAAAACCCACAAGGAATTTTAAAAGGTAGCAAATATTTCATTGAATGAAAACACCAACTATGGGTATCACAGGACAACTCGTTTACAACACAAACGGTTCATTATACTGATGTTGAATGAAGCAAAAGAAGTATAATACATTTTTATGAATTATTTTCTATTTATTCCAAGCTCTCATCTTCAAACAAATGTCGGATGACAGCATACAATTTTAGAGAAAAAGCAGTTCAGACCTTAATCTGATTGGTGGATTCTTCAGTTAGACTGAAAGACCGAGATCTAGGACTTGGCCACTCATCTCCAAGTAATGATGTCTTCAGGGAAACCTTGTTTAGTTGCTGAATATAGAGGAACAGCAGGAACTGAAGGGTATCCACAGATAACTAAGAGAAAAAATGATCATAATTTAATTTTGGAATAAGAGCCACATTATCTCCCCGAGATAGGTATTCTCTTTAGCAAATATTCAATGCAACTATGGAACTACTCGACAACGCAATGGAATAATGATTTGACATGGAGACGCTCATGACAAGGTTTTTATATTTTTAATATTTTATACTATATGTTATTGTTTTTAATAGAATTTCTTGATTGTTTTTACTGTTTAATTGTTACGGCATCAAATTGTTGCCAATTTGTGAACCGCTCCGAGTTGCCTCTGAGCTGAGAGGGGCGGTATATAAATATAGTAAATAAATAAATGCAGTATAGTAAGGAAAAGAAAAGACGATGCTGTATAATTGCAGATATTAATTTGTTTAAGCTATAGATTATTACAATAGGCACCTAATCTTGTGCTTTGGGATTGTGGCTCAGATAGCTAGATAAAACCCTATACATCTGAGAGAAATCAAGTAATTTTAGTATAATGCATAGTTAGCAAAACAAGACCAACAAAATTGCAAAAGGGAGGCTACACCCAGTCCATGCAGTATTAAAAGTTACAATATGACTACTTCATGCCTTATTCCTTTGCTTCTCTGCCTCCTCTTCAGTTGCACAATTGGATATCACTTCTGCCCATCCCAATCGTTGCTCTGAGGTCCTCTCAACAAGACTGTCAAACAATTCAAAGTACAGCCATGCCAGATCTTTCTCCAACTGCAGCTTTCCACAAGCAATATGTCTCCACATAGGCCAGAAAAGGTTTGGATAATAGCCTTCACTAGAACGCATCCGGACATAGGTTGACATCTTTCGGAGAAAATGCATGCTAAACTTGGATGGAGGTGGAATTTGCAAGGCTCCCACAATGAAAGGTTCCATTTTCACCCACAGACTGACTGTGGGTTGCTCCATTTTAGTCCACCACAGGATCCTCACACCTGTATTTTTAAAAAGAAAATAAAACTATGCTGTAAACCATCAGGCAAAAAAAAAAAAAACCTTACAAAGCACATTAGAGTCTTGTTTATCCAACATAAACAGGCTGGGAGAAAGTTGGATAATCTAAAATGTTGGATAATATGGAGGGATTATGGAAAATTTATTTATTTATTTATTTATTTATTTGCTTTACTTCTATACCGCCTTTCTCAGCCAAAAAAGGCGACTCAAGGCGGTTTACATAGTAAAGGTTAACACAGCAACATCAAAAAGCAGTTAAAACACATTATACAAAACATATCAAATCAAGCAATTTGGAAAAGCATATTAATGTCAAATTACATTATGATTTTACAAATTAAGCACCAAAACATCATGTGTTACAACAAATCAACAGAAGAAGCAGTTCAATACATCGTAATGTTATGCAGTAATTACTGTATTTACGAATTTAGCACCAAAACATCTCAATGTATTGAAACAGCAGTAGACCCGTGTGGGAGGCAAACTGCAATGGATAATACAGAACGTTGGATGAGCAAAGATTGGATAAATGAGACTCTCCTGAATATTCATCCATTTGTATGATCACTTTATATCATTCATTTTTTTTTAGAATCATAGAGTTGGAAGAGACCTTGTGGGCCATCCAGTCCAACCCCGTCTAAAAGCTGGAAAATCGCATTCAAAGCACCCCAGACAGATGGCCATCAAGCCTCTGTTTAAAACCCTCCAAAGAAGGAGCCTCCACCACACTCCAGGGCAGAGAGTTCCACTGATGAACAGCTCTCAGAGTTAGCAAGTTCTCTTCCTGTTTTCTGAACAGGGGCACAGACAACAAAACTACCACAGAGATGTTCACCCTTCCCTATGCTATCCAAAACTATAGATATGTGTATGCGTGTGTAGTACCTATTCTGACTTACACATTCAACAAACCTATGGAATCAATCTTGTCCGTAACTTGGGGGCTGCCTGGTAGTTTATTTACTGTATTTGTATATCACCCCTCTCAGCCCTCAGGCGACTTGAGGCGGTTTACAAGGCAAAATTCAATGCCACAAAGCACAAGTACAATTTAAAAATATTAACATACATAAAATCATCACAACAGCAATAAAACATAAGTCACTAAGAAATCCGTGTTAAAACCTTGTCCAGTCCCATCATATAGTTGTTCCATTGTCCTACATCCACTACTCTGTATTTGCAAAAGCTTGCTCGAAAAACCGTCTTGAGCTTTTTTCCGAAATGTTAATAGGGAAGAAGCTGATCTAATATCCCTAGGGAGGGTGTTCCATAGCCAAGGGGCCACCACCGAGGAGGCCCTATCTGTTGCCCCATTGTCCTATATCCACTACTCTGTATTTGCAAAAGCTTGCTCGAAAAACCATGTCTTGAGCTTTTTTCTGAAATGTTAACAGGGAAGAAACTGATCTAATATCCCTAGGAAGGGTGTTCCATAGCCAAGGGGCCACCACCGAGGAGGCCCTATCTCTTGCCCCATTGTCCTATATCCACTACTCTGTATTTGCAAAAGCTTGCTCGAAAAACCATGTCTTGAGCTTTTTTCCGAAATGTTGAAAGGGAAGAAGCTGATCTAATATCCCTAGGGAGGGCGTTCCATAGCCAAGGGCCCACCACCGAGAAGGCCGTCTCTCACCCCCGCTTTGTGATGAAGGCAGGACCGAGAGCAGGGCCTCCCCAGACGATCTTAAAGTCCTCGATGGTTCATAAGAGGAGATGCGTTCGGACAGTTACGTTTATTTATTTAACAAACTCGGTGATTAGCAAAAGCATTTTTGGGGGGAAAATAGTCCAAGTACCAATAAAAAAAACCCTCTAGGGATAACAGCAGTGATTTTTTGAGTTGCCAAGAAATACCCGTGATAGGTTCATCTCAGGATGCATACGCAGTGTGGAATTAATGCAGTTTGACACCACTTTAACTGCCACGGCTCAATACTATGGGAGAATTCGTTTGGTGAGGCACCCCTACTCCCCTGGTAGAAAAGGCTTGCAAAACTACAACCCCATGATCCCATTCCATTGAGCAATGGCAGCTAAAGTGGTCTCAAACTGTATTAATTCCAGTATAGATCAGGCCTGGGCGAACTTGGGCCCTCCAGATGTTTTGGACTTCAACTCCCACCATTCCTAACAGCCTGAGGCCCTTTCCTTTTCCCCCTCAGCCGCTTAAGCGGCTCAGGGGGAAAAGGAAAGGGCCTCAGGCTGTTAGGAATGGTGGGAGTTGAAGTCCAAAACACCTGGAGGGCCCAACTTTGCCCAGGCCTGGTGTAGATGCCCCCAAGGAAGCCATACACTATCCAAAAAGTGTTACCAAGTTCTAAGTGTGGAAGGAGAGAAAGGAAAGCCACAGAAAAATGCCACCAGCCTGCTGAGGAGGTGTTTGTCGTACTGGAAAGAGAACGAGAGGAGGTTGCCAACAGCCTGGGCAACCGCGAACCTCAGCCCTCCTCTCCCTTCAGCCCAGCGACGCTTCCCGCCCTCTCCCTCGCCCACTGCGCCTGCGCACAAGGATGGCTGCCGCGGCTGTACAACAACACTCTTACCAAAGAGATGCTTCGGGCTAGAACAGCCGTGTTTTTGTTTTCCCCGCCACACCAGCGCTTGAGACTGTTCACGTCATTTCCGCCCATGGTTGAGGCAATAGCAATGACCGCGGGAAGGCTGAGAGCAATGCCATAGCGCCCTCTGCGGAAGGGAGGACCTCTTCCGCTGTTTCTCCTATGTGGCTTGACATACTTATCTGCCACGGCTATGGAAATTTGGGACTCCCAGGATTCCATAGCATTGAGCCAAGGCTGTTTAAAGTGGTATCAACCCGCATTAATTCCACAGTGGAGATATAATACTACTACTACTAATAATATTAATAATATGATATTTTAATTATATATTTATATGACATATTGTGTCCAATTATGGGCACCACAATTCAAGCTGGAATGTGTCCAGAGGAGGGCGACTAAAATGATCAAGGGTCTGGAGAACAAGCCCTATGAGGAGCGGCTTGGGGAGCTGGGCATGTTTAGCCTGAAGAAGAGAAGGCTGAGAGGAGACATGATAGCCATGTATAAATATGTGAGAGGAAGCCACAGGGAGGACAGGAGGGAGCAAGCTTGTTTTCTGCTTCCTTGGAGACTAGGACGCGGAACAATGGCTTCAAACTACAAGAGAGGAGATTCCATCTGAACAATTAGGAAGAACTTCCTGACTGTGAGAGCCGTTCAGCAGTGGAACTCTCTGCCCCGGAGTGTGGTGGAGGCTCCTTCTTTGGAAGCTTTTAAGCAGAGGCTGGATGGCCATCTGTCAGGGGTGATTTGAATGCAATATTCCTGCTTCTTGCCAGGGGGTTGGACTGGATGGCCCATGAGGTCTCTTCCAACTCTTTGATCTATGATTCTATGAAAGCAGTAATAATATTACAATATAATGGTATAGTACAATATAGTAATCTGTTGTTCATTCGTTCAGTCGTTTCCGACTCTTCGTGACCTCATGGACCAGCCCACGCCAGAGCTCCCTGTCGGCCATCACCACCCCCAGCTCCTTCAGGGTCAATCCAGTCACTTCACAGTAATCTTCTATATAAATAAATATAATCTTCTATATCTATATAAATAAAAATGTATAAATAAAAATGTAATGTTCGCTTGTGGGATTAACAGAACTCAGAAACCACTGGACGAATTGACATCAAATTTGGACACAAGACACCTAACAACCCTATTTATGTCCTTCACTCAAAAAATTGATTTTGTCTTTTGGGAGTTGTAGTTGCTGGGATTTATATGTAATGTTCGTTTGTGGGATTAACAGAACTCAAAAACCACTGGACGAATTGACATCACATTTAGACACAAGACACATAACAACCCAATGTATGTCCACTCAAAAAATTGATTTTGTCATTTGGGAGTTGTAGTTGCTCGGATTTATAGTTCACCTACAATCAAAGAGCATTCTTAACCCCACCAACGATGGAATTGAACCAAACTTGGCACACAGTTCTCCCATGACCAACAGAAAATACTGGAAGGGTTTGGTGGGCAGTGTCCTTTGGTTTTGGAGTTGAAGTTCACCTACATCCAGAGATCACTGTGGACCCAAACAATGATGGATCTGGACCAAACTCTACATGAATACTCAATATGCCCAAATGTGAACACTGGTGGAGTTTGGGGAAAATAGAATCTTAACATTTGGGAGTTGTAGTTGCCGGGATTTATAGTTCACCTACAATCACAGAGCATTGTGAACCCCACCAACGATAGAACTGGGCCAAACCTCCCACACAGAACCCCCATGTGGGCCACAGCAACGCGTGGCAGGGGACGGCTAGTCACTCATAAAAACAAAGAAAAACACAGAAGAGACTTAAAAAGCAAAAAAAAAATACATTACAGTGCATGTGCACAATCACATATATATACGCAAACACACATGTATACACATATACACATACAAAACACATAAACACAGACTGGGCCACAGCAACTCATGGCAGGGGACAACTAGTCTATATAAATAAAAATGTAATGATCGTTTGTGGGATTAACATAACTCAAAAACCACTGGGCAAATTGACACCAAATTTGGACACAATACACCTATTAAGCCAACGAGTGACCATCACTCATAAAAACACTGAGAAACACAGCAGAAAATACTTCAAAAGCCAAAAAATAAAAATACATGACAACACATGCGCAAAACCACATATATACACATATACACAAATATATACACACATATATACACACAAAACACATATACGCAGACTGGGCCACAGCAACATGTGGCAGGGGATAGCTAATCTATATAAATAAAAATGTAATGTTCATTTGTGGGATTAACATAACTAAAAAACCACTGGACAAATTGACACCAAATTTGGACACAATACACCTATCAGGCCAATGAGTGACCACCATGCATAAAAACACCAAAAAACACAGTGGAAGAGACTTTAAAAGCAAAAAAATACCCCTAACAACGCATGCACAAAACCATATATATACACATATATGCATATATACACATATACACATATACACAGACTGGGCCACAGCAACGCATGGCAGGGGATGCCTAGTATTTAATACTGATATTGTACTGTGCTAATAATATAATATATTGTGTGTATATATATATTGTAAGCCACTCTGAGTCCCCTTCGGGGTGAGAAGGGTGGCATATAAATGTCGTAAATAAATAAATAAATAAATAAAATTATTTTGGATTAAGTATAATTGTTAAAAGGGGCCCCCTGGTGGAGCAGCAGGTTAAATTGATTTTAATGTTGATGTACGTTTACAGATATTTTAATTCCAGCATTGAATGTTTGTCGTATATATGTTGTGCTCCGCCCTGAATCCCCTTCAAGATGAGAAGAGTGGAATATAAATGTTTTAAATAAATAAATTAAACCACTGAGCTGCTGAATTTGCTGACTGAAAGGTCGGAAGTTTGAATCCAGGGAGCAGAGTGAGCTCCCGTTGTTAGCCCCAGCTTCTGCCAACCTAGCAATTTGAAAACATGCAAGTGTGAGTAGATCAATAGGTACCATTTCTACGGGAAGGTAACGGTGCTCCATGCAGTCATATTGACCACATGACCTTGGAGGTGTCTACGGATAACACCGGCTCTTCAGCTTAGAAATAGAGATGAGCACCACTGTGCAGAGTTGGGCACAACTAGACTTAATGTCAAGGGTAAACCTTTAGCTTTACTTTATAATTGTTAAGTATTAATCAGGTATGTTCTTCTTTATTCACAGATTTGGAGGCAGTACCAGAAAATGCAATTATCTTATTTTTGACTCTGTGTGTATGTGTGTGTGTATCAGCTGTCAGAATTTAAGACACAAGTGAAGACCTGTCTCTTCCTGCAGGCCTACCCACACAGCCTTTAAACATAGACATGAATTTTAATGTGTGACCTTTGCTTAATCTCTGTTTTAATATGTATTTCATAGAGGTATGTTATGATATGTAAATTTTATGGAGGTACATTTTAGTATGTGTATTTGTAGTGTTTTGCTGTGTTTATGTATTTTGTCTTATAACCCACCTCAAACCATGAGAAGTATGAAATAAAATTATTACTATATTCACACACACACACAGAGAGACATATATATACATATATATTATACATACACATACATATATAAAATCACCCTCAATATATACAACATAATATTTATTTATTTATTTATTTATTTATTTCGAGGTTTTATATACCGACCCTCTCACCTTCAAAGAGGGATTCGGACCGGTTCACAACATGTGTTAATGTGGTGTCAAAGCCCGCGTGGATCAAAGCGACTTTGTCCACAAAGTACTGAGCAAATGCTTCACAGCGTGCTGCCGAGTCGTCAGGGGACCCACTCAAGGTGGGATTCAACAACCCTCTGACTACTTGGAACAGCTCTGCCGGACGGTTCCTTGCGGACGCAATATTAGCCAAGTAGAAAGCATTTTGCGCGGCCTCTATTGCCGCGCCATACGCCCTTAGATAGAGGCGTAGGCGTGTTCGGTTTGACTCGCTGGGCTCTTTCCTCCACACGCTCTCTAGCCACCTCTTTGTTCGCTTTAGCTCCACCAGCTCCTCGTTGAACCAAGGGGCCGGTTTCGCTCGGCGACTTAAGAGGGGGCGCTCCGGAGCAATCGTGTCTATTGCCCTAGTCAACTCCCTATTCCAGTGAGCAACCAGGGCATTGACAAAATCACCATCCAAGGCAGCGGAAACATCCCCAAGAGCCATCAGGAGTCCTTCTGGATCCATAAGCCTCCTGGGGTGGACCATCTTAATGGGTCCACCACCCCTGCGGAGGTTAGAAGTTGCAGCAAGTCTAAACTTGATCAGGTGGTGGTCAGTCCATGGCAAAGGGGAGATTGATAACTCCTCCACACCGCCACCTTCTTCCCAGCCCTGACAGAAGACCAAGTCAAGTGTGTGTCCAGCACAGTGGGAAGGGCCAGATATTTAGAAAAAGTAACATTGTAATGCTATACTAATATATTATATATACCATAATATTACCAGTATTATATATATGGATATAGATATATACTACAACTTATGATATAGTACAATATATTATATAATATCAATAGAACAATAAACTGGTATTGTAATATATATTGTGATATAATAATATATTACAATATAATAACAATGGCTAATAACAAGGCAGCAGGAGATAATGGGATCCCAGTTGAACTGTTTAAAATCTTGGATAATGATGTTGTCAATGTGATGCATGCCATGTGCCAGCAAATATGGAAAACACAAGAATGGCCATCGGACTAGAAAAGATCAACTTATATCCCTATACCCAAAAAGGGAAATGCTCAAACTTTCATACAGTGGCACTTATTTCTCATGCCAGTAAGGTAATTCTCAAGATCCTGCAAGGAAGACTCCAGCAATACATGGGGAGAGAGTTGCCGGATGTACAACCTGGCTTTAGAAAAGGCAGAGGAATGAGAGACCAAATTGCCAATATCTGCTGGATAATGGAGAAAGGCAGGGAGTTTCAGAAAAACATTTATTTCTGTTTTAATGACTATTTGAAGGCCTTTGAATGTGTGAATCATAATAAATTGTGGCAAGTTCTTGGTGGTATGGGGATACCAAATCACTTTGTCTGTCTCTTGATGAATCTGTATAATGACCAATGATCAGTAAGAACTGACCATGGAACAACCGACTGGTTCAAGATTGGGAAAGCGTACAACAGATTATTATTATTATTATTATTAAACTTTATTTGTACTCCGCTAGCCTCTCCCGAAGGACTTGATGCGGCTTACAAAGGCCAAGGCCTCAATACACAACATAACAATACACTTAAAGCAAAATTAAAACAATTAAAGCAGTATTAAAACAACAAACCACAAGCAATAAACAGTACATCAACAAGATAAAACTGGGCTGGGCCAGAGTAAAAGGGTACAGAATTAAAAAGTGCTGATGTGACAGGTGATATTGTAGGACAAGTGCAGTGTGCAGCAGTCTTAATTCTAATAAAGTGCTTCTGGGACTTGGTGGTGGAGATTTCCTAATCGGGAAAGGCACATCGGAACAGCCAAGTCTTCAAGTTCTTTCTGAAGACTGCCAATGTAGGGGCCAGTCTAAGATCTTTGGGGAGAGTGTTCCAGAGACGGGGGGCCACCACGGAAAAGGCCCCGTCTCGTGTCCCCACCAAATGTGCTTGCGACGCAGGCGGGATCACGAGCAGGGCCTCTCCAGATGACCATAGTGAACAGAGTTGTATACTCTCACTCAACCTATTCAACTTGTATGCAGAACACATCATGCAATGTGTGGGGCTTGATGAATGGAAGGCTGGGTTTAAAATTGCTGGAAGAAACATTAACAACCTTAAATATGCAGATACCACTTTGATGGCCAAAAGCAAGGAGGATCTGAGGAGCCTTCTAATCAAGGTGAAAGAAGAAAGTGCAAAAGTGGGTTTCAGTTAAACATCAAAAAACCAAGATTATGGCAACAAGACTGATTGATAACTGGCAGATAGAGGGAGAAAACATGAAGGCAGTGACAGACTTTTTATTTCTAGGTGCAAAGATTACTGCAGATGCAGACTGGAGCCAGGAAATCAGAAGATGTTTACTTCTTGGGAGGAGAGCAATGACCAATGCCAATAAAATAGTGAAGAGTAGAGACAACACACTGGCAACGAAGATCCGCATAGTTATAGCAATGGTATTCCCCATAGTCACCTACAGATGTGAGAGCTGGACCATAGGTAAGGCTGAGCGAAGGAAAATAGTTGCTTTTGAACTGTGGTGTTGGAAGAAAATTCTGAGAGTGCCTTGGATCGCAAGAAGATCCAACCAGTCCATAATTCAGGAAATAAAGTCCGACTGCTCATTGGAGGGAAGGATATTAAAGGCAAAGATGAAGTACTTTGGCCACATCATGGGAAGACAGGAAAGCTTAGATAAGACAATGATGCTGTGGAAAATGGAAGAAAAAAGAAAGAAGGGCCGACCAAGAGCAAGATGGATCGATAGTATCCTTGAAGTAACTGACTTATTTATTTATTTCGTATCTAAAGCATTGCATAAATTAGTATAAAACCGATAAAAATAGAAAGAGTGCAGGTGGCTAAATATCTTTTGACCAAAATCGGGTAACAGCAATGGCATTGTCTGTAGCCTCCAACAATTCTTCCTCTGTACATGAGGAAGGGTATGCAGATGCAGAGTTGCCCGTTCTGCTCCACAGTCACATAAGGCGTGGGATTCTTTTAGGTAGTGCCATTTTGCCAGGTTGTCTTTTGTTCTGCCCACTCTACTTCTGAGTCTGTTCAGGGACTTCCAAGTTGCCCATTCTTGGTTTGGAAGACCCTCCTGGTGTAGAGAACTATTTTAATTAGTGATGGTTGGTGACAAAGAAAGGCAAACAGTTCCCTACACTGGGGGGGCCATCCAGTTGGGATTTCCTGGTTTATCTGCCCAGACGGATACCCTTACTGTTGCTGGGGGGATGCCAAGAGGAGTGGAAGTTCTCATAAAGTTTTTCCTTGATTTGACTCTACTGGGAGGAGTAACTGAATTGATTCTGAAGGAGCTGGGGGTGGCTATGGCCAACAGAGCTCTGGGTAGGCTGGTCCATGAGGTCACAAAGAGTTGGAGGCGACTGAACGAATAAACAACAAAACAATAGAATGATAATATATGTGTATTATATATTACATATATTACTAATAATATTGCAGTATAGTGGTATAGTACAATATAGTAACTTATAATAATGTGCTAGGCTAATATATTGTATATACACATATTAAAATAATATAACGTAATACAATATACTAATAACGCATTATAATAATTATATTATATATATTATATATTATTTTTATATTATATATTATATAAGTATTATTATTATTGTAATATAGTAAAGTATATTAAATATACTACTGATAATATATAATTGCACACCGTTTTATTATTATATATTTGTATATTTTAAGTTATAATGTTTTTTTTTTGTGAGCCGCTTTGAGTCTTCGTATGGAGAGATAAAGCGGGATATAAATAGGTAAGCCTAGAACAGGTCGCGACGTAAGAACGGCTGCTCCCTCTGCCCCTCCTCCCTAGTGTCCTTATTTATTGACGTCTAGAGCCGTGATTGGCTGCGCCCTGCCGGCTCGCGGGTGAAGTGTGCAATTGTGGTTGGCCGGTGGAGCGTGACGCGGCTTCGCTGTGCCGGGCGCTGATTGGCTGCTTGCCTGCCTGCCTTCTTTCACCGGGTTTCTCCGTCGTGCCGATGGTGACCGGCGAGTCAAGGAAGGAGTGAGGAGGGGGCGCGCGCTGAAGCCGTTTCGAGGACCCTCCGGCCCCGCCATGACTCCCAGCTCCCTCGGCAGCCTCCTCCTGCTGCTGCTGTGCCTGCTCGGGGACGCCATTGCCGGGTGAGCCCCAAGAAAGAGAAGCGGGGAAGGGAAGGGAACCCCATTCGGCCTTCTGAGAGGCTGATATCCGCCCCCCCCCCTTTTACTCCCTTGAGTCTTCCACAGGCCCCCTTCCCCGCCATTTCTGCCCCCGTCCTTCAGCTCTCCTCACATTGAGGCCTTCCCTTCCTCTCCCTCCCTCCCACTGGCATTCTCTCAGCATCATTCAGGCCCCTGTGAGGCTTGGCTTCCCTGCCTCCTGTGTGTGACTGACATCCCATTCTCAACTCTGAGTGCATCTACACCAGGCATGGGCAAACTTGGGCCCTCCAGGTGTTTTGGACTTCAACTCCCACCATTCCTAACAGCCTCAGGCCGCTTTCCCCGCCCCCCCCCCCAGCCACTTAAGCGTGGAAGGGAACAGCTAGTGTGTGTGTGTGTGCATCTCCACCTATGAACCGACTAGGATATTAAGATCGTCTGGGGAGGCCCTGCTCTCGATCCCGCCTGCATCACAGGCGTGCCTGGCGGGGACGAGGGACAGGGCCTTCTCGGTGGTGGCCCCTCGGCTGTGGAATGTCCTACCTGTAGACATCAGACAGGCCCCTTCACTGTTGGCGTTCCGGAGGAAGGTGAAGACCTGGCTCTTCGAACAAGCGTTTGGCTAAACAGTGCAATTGATTATAGGAATACGGTGCAATCGAACATAGGAACATGGAACAAGGATTATGAGAATGGTTCTGATTTGAGGCGTTATGATAATGATTGTTTATTGATATTGACTGTTATGTATAATGTGTTTTAATTGCCTATGATACTGTCTTGTGATAATTTGTACTATGTAAACCGCTTTGAGTTGCCTACGGGCTGAGAAGAGCGGTATAGAAATAAAGTAAATAAATTATATATATATATATATATATATATATATATATATATATATGAGGAGGTTGATGCACAATTGATCAACACAATGTTCACAGAATTAGGGTCCCAACCAGTGTCATGGTAACATGACAATGGTGGCTTCTCATTTTCCGCTTTTATAGCCGTTGTAGTAGTAATAATAATAATAATAATAATAATCTTTATTTATACCCCGCCACCATCTCCCCAATGGGGACTCGGAGCGGCTTACATGAGGCCAAGCCCAAATGACAATAAAGAAAAACCAAAAAAAAAATGCAAACAATAAACAATAACATAAAACAGTTACATAGTTACATAAAACATATGAATACATAACAAAATAAAAATTACAATATGCACAGGCACAGTAATAATGGGCGGGCTACGTGTAATGATTAAAAGACCAACTAATTAAAACTAATTAAAAACTCGGGCGAGATAAAAGAGAGAAGCAGGTAATTTACGGAGGAGGGCTCATTTTAGCAGGAGTTGTGGAATCAAGCTTTCCCATGAGGGGGGACGTATACTCCAATGACAGAACTTTGGGACGGAGCAATCATGTGGGATTATATAGCTATTCATCAAAGGTGCAGCGGAAGAGCCAGATTTTAAGGTTCATTAAAAAAAATTCCAGGGAAGGGGCTTTCCTAATTTCTCCAGGCAGTGAGTTCCAGAGTCGGGGAGCCACAGCGGAAAAGGCTCTCTCCCTTGTACTCACTAGGCCAGTGTTTCTGAACCTGGGGGTCGGGACCCCTGTGGGGGTTGCGAGGGGGTGTCAGAGGGGTCACCAAAGACCATCAGAAAACATACAGTATATTCTGGCGTATAAGACTACTTTTTAACCCAAGAAAATCTTTTCAAAAGTCAGGGGTCGTCTTATACGCAGGTGTAGTCTTATGCATGGGAGTCGTATTAACTCTATATTTTAACTGGAAAAGTTGGGGGTCGTCTTATACGCCCAGTCGTCTTATATGCCGGAATATACGGTAGTATTTTCTGTTTGTCATGGGTGTTCTGTGTGGGAAGTTTGGTGGGGTTCAGAATGCTATTTCATTGTGGGTGAACTATGAATCTCAACAACTACAACTCCCAAATGGCAAGATCCGTTTTCTCCAAACTCTACCAGTGTTCACATTTGGGCATATTGATTATCTGTGCCAAGTTTGATCCAGATTCATCACTATTTGAGTGCACAGTGTTCTCAGTATGTAGGTGAACTACAACTCCAAAAACTCAAGGTCAGTGTCAACCAGATTCCCAATATTTCTCTTGGCCATGGGAATTCTGTGTGCCAAGTTTGATTCAGTTCCATCATTGGTGGAGTTCAAAAGGAACTTTGATTTTAGGTGAACTATAAATCCCAGCAGCTCCAACATTCCCAAATGACAAAATCAATCCCCTCCAACCCCACCAGTATTCAAATTTGGGCGTATTGGGTATTTGTGCCAAATTTGGTCCAGTGAATAAAAATACATCCAGCATATCAGATATTTATATTACGATTCATAGCAGTAGCAGAATTAAAGAGGTTGCAACGAAAATAACGTTATGGTTGGGGGTCATCACAACGTGAGGACCTGTACTAAGGGGTTGTGGCATTAGGAAGGTGGAGAACCACTGCACTAGGTGAGCTTGAGAAATTGGCAGGAGGGAGAGAAGGGCCTCCTCGGAAGATCGGAGTGCCCGAGGTGGTTCATGGAGGGAGATACGGTCACAAAGGTAGGCAGGTCCCAAACCGTTTAGGGCTTTATAGGTGATAACCTGCACCTCGAATTGGGACCGGAAAATAAATGGCAGCCAGTGGAGTTCCTTAAACGGGGGTTGACCGCTCCCTGTAGGTTGCTCCAGTTATTCATCTGGCTGCAGAACGTTAGGCAAGTTGTAGTTTCCAGACCGTCTTCAAGGGTAGCCCCACGTAGAGAGCATTACAGTAATTCAGTCTAGAGGTAACTAAGGCATGGACCACCATGGTCAAGTCAGACTTCGCGAGATAAAGTCGCAGTTGGCGCACAAGTTTTAATTGCGCGAAGGCCCTCTCGGCCACCGCCGACACCTGTGCATCGAGCATCAGCGCTGAGTCCAGGAGGACCCCCAGACTGCGGGGGTACCATGTTGTCTTCTGATTGATCCGCCGTTGAGGTCTTCAGATTATTCTTGGTGTGCGGCCCCTCTAGCTTTGGTTAGCATAGGGAAGGAATAACACCCCTGTGTCTGTGCCCCTGTTCAGAAGATTTCACCTTACTTTCTTAAAAAATCAGCAGGTGAATTTTTGTGAATACCAACCTCATGTCATTCTAAACATTTCATCTGTTTCTTGTTTCGGTTTTCAATTTAAGAAGCATTGAAAATCAGCTCCATGGAAAAGGAAAATGCAATAATATTATATTAAAACTGCATTAAAATAATTTCGCACTTTTGGTGAAGGACACAAGATCAAGACAGAGGTCAAACAAGCCTTGCTATCATTTCTTTGATTGTACTTCCTGTTCTATATCAAAATTATGTAACAACTTCTGGTGTAAATAACTATTTGATCTGTTACACATGATTTTCACTCATGCTCCCTTCTGCCCTGCATGGGATTTCACCCCATTCAGTAGTATGTAGGGGTGCAAGGGAGGGCAAGGCTGATGAGAGAAAAAGTACTACAAAATTTCTGTCAATATATACTCAAAGTTGCATACAACCTAATATGCGTATTGTGTGTGAGCAGTCACATGCATATGTATTCAGCAAGATAAAAATCTAGGGGTGGTAAAGTTGTCTAAAACATTTGTAGTCTTATGTCACTGGCTCCCGATCCAGCATCCTGTGATATGGCCTGGGGAGCACAAAAATGCATCTTTTATTTCCCCTTGGAGTAGGCAGATCTTAAGTAGACTTTAGAAAAGGAAATGTTATTGTGCAGACAAAGCAATATGACACATTTTCAGTACAATCTTTCTGTTATGCTTACTCCATAGTAAATCTCACTGTGTCTTTATGTTTAGGAATCTTTCGCAATGTACATAAGCTGTTTGAACTCATATTTGGAAATAGTTGTCTTTCCATAAATATCTCAAAAATAGAAGCCTTCATGCTTCCTTGGAAGCAAGAAACCTGTCATCTCCAAAATGATATACTTCCAGAGCTACTGTGGGTTGCAATTTTTGTAGTTATCAACCATTTTTGGAGAGGAAAAAAGAAACTAACCATCTTGCTTTATTTTAACTTGTGTCCTGATGATAAGCAGACATTAAAGAAAGAAAAACACAATGAGCAAAAGACTCCTTTCTTTTTTTTAGGAGAGACTTCTACAAGATATTGGGTGTACCTCGCAGTGCATCTGTTAAAGACATTAAAAAGGCCTATCGAAAATTAGCCCTGCAACTTCACCCAGACCGGAACCCTGATGATCCACAAGCTCAGGAAAAGTTTCAGGATCTTGGGGCTGCCTATGAGGTCAGTGTGTTCCAGAAAAATCTGTACCTAATATGGTCAGCTTTAGCTGCCTGTAATCCTGTGTCTTCTTTTCAGGAAATTCCTCTAGAAAACGTTGGATTTATGTGCAACTGTTGAATAAGATCACCACCCTATACATTATAGATTTTCATTAAGGAATCTGTTCCTGAAAAGTCATCTTTACTCCTTTTCCTAACTTTCTGTTCTTTAGGATGATATTGAAATCAACCAAGTATTGAAATCAGGCACTACATGGTCATACATTTGATGAACAAATAACACAGGATTTTAACAACTTGCTTTCAAACAGTCTGCTGGGTTTTTTTTTTTTTAAAAAAACTTATCAGTGTTCTGTTCCCTGTCGTATTCTTTCAAAGTATAATACTATTCCTTAGAATATTTTTTTATGCCCTACGGAATGTGCTTAATTGATATAGACTGCAGTGGTTCTCGACCTGTGGATCCCCAGATGTTTTGGCTTACAACTCCCAGAAATCCCAGCCAGTTTACCAGCTGTTAGGATTTCTGGGAGTTGAAGACCAAATAGTTTCCTCAAGTTAATGACCCACTAAGATGCCTTCATTTAGTCTCACATCCTACTTTGGGGTCAGATAAAGTTTAGTCCAGCTAATAGCTCCTGAAAGCCAAAGTGAGTTCTCCTTCCTTAAGCGTGGTTTTATGCCAGATTTTTGCATAGTTAACTTGAATGCCTTTCACAACCTTGTATGATGTAATATATTACTATTGAATTAGTTGTTTCTTTATATAATTGCATGGTACCTTTATTTGGCTGGGAAAATGGTACTGGACATGTTACGGAAAATAAGGTGTTGGTCTGGATAATATCAGAGTAAGGGAACACATTGTGTTCTGAATACTTTATTCCTCCTTCTTCTGTGTGTGTGAATGATGTGTATCTCTCATCTCTGAAGCAGAGAGAACAGAAATGTCACTTTGGTAGCAATAGGTTATCAGCTGCTTTGCAAAACAAACCCTACAGGTATCCTATTGACATTTTGAATAGGGCAGCATGCTATGATATGGCCTAGGGAGCAAAAAACAAACCCTACCCCTACCAAAACCGCTGTAGCAGTTTGCAAGCTACCTTTATCTAGTGGACTGCTGCTTGAATTGAGACAAATGTTTGATCTATATCATATTAGAGCGCATATTTTTATCTTCTGAAGCAGTGATGGGGAATGTGGGGCCCTCCAGATATTGGGCTGATTATCTGTAGCCACTATAGCCATGGAGTGTAGTAAAGGGTAGCATTATAGCATCTATGGAATTATAGGGTCTCCATTTCTATTTCAATGTTCTAAAAAAGTGATGAAGATGAAATTACAACTATTTATATTCCAGCCCTTTTTACAATTGTGATTCTATTGCTGAGTTTGCAAACTAATGAATATAGGCTGTGGCATGTGTAGTGTCAATATAGCACCTCAACCTTTGTTTAAATAGTATGGAGGATAGTACACCCATGGTTTATGGGGTTTCCTCTCACACATTCCCAAGTGTAACTGACATTCAGAATATTCCATTCTCCTTAAAATGCTTGATATGCACTTCAGTCCAATGATTTCTGGTGGAGATCAGCAGAACATGTTGCTATTTGATGGGAAGTATTTAGCGGTAGATGATGGCTCATAAAGTATGCCAAACTAATTGTTACACAAAATACTAATGAATAATTATTTAATATATGTATGAACATTTTTATCTGCAGGTATTGTCAGATGAGGAAAAGCGAAAGCAGTATGATGCATATGGGGAAGAGGGGCTGAAAGAGGGTCATCAGAGTTCCCATGGTGACATTTTTTCACAGTAAGTCTGCTTTGTTCCTCCTTGCTGAATTGCATGACAGACCAGACTTTACTTTTAAATAAAGTTTGAGAATGCTGATAAGTTAGTTCTGTGCAGCCAGGATGACAAAATTAGTTTATTGGTTTCTTGTAGTTTTTCTTTGATAAAAAGGACAGGCTCCATGTACTAATTGTTGGTTAGCTCTTTATTCCTTTTAAAAAGTTCAAGATGTTTCAGCCTGTGTGAGGAAAGGCCTTTTTTCAGGAGAGAAAATCAAACATAAATACAAATCTATTATGAATAATAAAAAAGAGCCAGAATAACAGTAATTGAACCATGTCATACAAAAACACACATAGTTGCAATACAGTATTTTTCATAACAAAATCATATATGCTATTCAACAGAAATTTCTGGATTGTAGATAACACTTTCTGAAAAGGTGAATAATTAAATGTCAAAAGGTTTTGTTTTTAGCTCCTGGATAAGACCTTTTCTCATATAGTGGAACATTTGAATTTTTAAAGAGAATAAAGAGTTGACCATCACTTACCACATTCTTATATACATGCTTTTCAGTACTCATACAAAATTATTTCTTCAGAGGGGATATTCTATAACAGCTTGTGGAAATCCAATTTTTAAACCCTGAAAAGCATTCCTTGGATGTGAGGCATCATTGGACTATCCCTTTCCTGGTTGTTTTGGTATTGCTACTCATTAGGCAGGAGAGCAGGCAGAACCATTCAGTTCTAGACCAGATCAATCTATATTCACTGGAAAAGATTCCAGGGTCTTTACAACTTACTCCACAGAGATACATTGCAAATCAGGGACCATCTAAGATTTTTCTTCTTTTCAATGATAACAGCCTTTTTTATTTTCCTGCTTTTAGTTTGACCATTTCATTATGGAAATCCAGTTTAGCTTCATTGACATATTTTTATTGCAATTCTGTTTTGGCAGAAGAAATTATTCTAAGCTGGATTTGATCCCGCTTTATCAATTGAACGATTTCTATCATTTGACTGAAATGAAACATTACAATAAATGCATCGCTTTAAAAGATTGCTCTTTTCTTGGCAGCTTCTTTGGAGACTTTGGCTTCATGTTTGGGGGCAATCCTCGTCAGCAAGACAGGAACATTCCAAGAGGAAGTGACATTATTGTGGACCTAGAAGTTACACTGGAAGAGGTGTATTCAGGAAATTTTGTAGAAGTACGTTTACCCAACCTAATGATGATGATGAGCCGTCTTAGCGTTTTTTGAAGCCTGCTTGCTAATTGCTGCTGATGTTGTTTTTGTTGTGTGTTTTTTTTTAAAAAAAAAACAACAAAACAAAACCAAGCAACTGAGAATGTGGCAATGATGTGATTTTCTCTGAACAGAAGAATGTGTATGGAACTTAAAACAGACATGAATTAGAGACCACACAAAACTGTTGCATCTACCCATAGGTGGAATGTGTCTCAGCTTTAGACTTGTGAAAGATGAGCGTGCTTTCTTTTAATACAAGGTATAGATAACAGCAACTATCTGCTCTCGCTTTTGTATCACTACTGAAAGGATGTGGTTTTCATGAAACGGCAGTTAATCAGTTTCAGGAATCTTGCTATTATCTGTACTGCTACTTATGCCTTCAACAGACCATACAGTGCCTGAGAGCCAAGTGTCACTGCCTGAGAGCCAAGTGGCCTCTTCTTTAAGGTATCAACCATTAAGAAACTATAGTTCTAATATTCCATTGGAATAGCCATAGCAAGAGACTTCCAACTAAGATTTGTGGCAAGCAAGCTTCCTGTTTTTTGTCATGATCAAGCAAGTACCTTCCAGTAGAGTGCCTGTTTCCAAGTTGCTTTGTGTCTCCAAGCATATAGGGATGTGGCAGTTCCTTGTCTTCTCCAAAGCCATCCATGAAATGAAACAAGACCATGCATATCCCCTACCCTCTGGTTCTGTTGTAGACTACTCAAGTTGGGATGTAAGGATGAGGTCCTATTTAATTCCACTGTTTCAGAGATGAAAAGCAAAATGCTTTTGTATTGGGAGAGGGCTATCTTTTCCTAAAATGATAACATACCTGGAGGGTGTAGAAAGACTGATGACGATTGCAAGTAATAACTGACTTGTAAGCCAGCCCAAAACTCATGGACCTCTTCTCAAACTGCTCCATCTTGGAAATGAATTGTGATTACAATGTTCAGTTTTCATCTCTGTGAGGAGAAGCAGTGTAATATGGCTGCTGGTCTGCTATTTTCATATATGTTATTTGCCAGGTCGACAAATCAAGGTAGGTGGGATGTTTGTTTCAATTATTCAGGACTAAAGTGTTCTGTAGGGATCAGGAAAAATTGAGAGGGATTAATTTTGTATATTTTTGCAGGTTATTCGAAACAAACCAGTAGCAAGACAGGCACCAGGCAAGCGAAAATGCAATTGTCGACAGGAGATGAGAACAACCCAGTTAGGCCCAGGACGTTTCCAGATGACCCAGGAAGTTGTCTGTGATGAGTGTCCCAACGTCAAGTGAGTCTGATGTCCTCTGACACTTTGGTGCATATGTATTTACTAATAATGCATGATTATTGGAATTAGAAAGGAGGGAAGAGGCATTACATTACCAGCTCAAGCCACATGGGGGTGTAGCTCATTTATGAAAATAAAAATAGGAAGAAGTAAGTGTTGAAGCTGAAAAATTTCCTAGATTTCTCAGAGAAGCTTGTGTGATTCATCCTTTAAGACATTCCCCAGGTAAAACTTACTTTGCCAAGTAGCAAAAGCCTTTCAGTCAGAGTGTTAAGTAGAATATTTCCTGTGATGTTGTTGTTGATGGCCTTGATTCGTTAGTAAATACTCATAATCTAGCTGGGTTTTGTGTTGTTACCATAATTTACTTACCAGTATGTGTCCTAGAGTAGCGCCAGCACCACTATTCTGCAAACTAGGCAGCACAGTATAGTCTAATTGAAATATGGTAAGAAAGTCTCCACAGTGCAGACTCTAAAGAAAAAACATGTTTACCCATAATACATTTTAATTATTTGCTGCCTTTCTCTCTCCTGTTTCTCAGGCTTGTGAATGAAGAGCGAACTCTAGAAGTGGAGATAGAACCTGGGGTGAGGGATGGCATGGAGTATCCATTCATTGGGGAAGGTACAATTTTATTTTAATAATTGTCTTGCTGGAGCAAAGCTTTTAAAATAAACCCAAGTGCATTTATGGAACTTGATAGAAAGTTAGTAAACTTCCTTAGTTTCTAATCTGAAAAAAATGAGTTCTAACCCTGCTCTATTTACAAACCACATTGTTTTTATACAGTGTGAAGGTAAGTTATTGCATTATATTGGTTTTACTATAAACTGCTTTGAGTCTCTTTTTTAGAGGAAAAAAGTTAGTTACAAGTAGTAGTAGTAGTAACAATAAAAATTAAATATTTCATATCTATATTCTTCAGGTGAACCTCATGTTGATGGAGAGCCTGGGGACTTGCGCTTCCGAATAAAAGTTCTCAAGTAAGTTATCTTTGCATGTTTATGAATGTTTTTCCTATATTACCTCATAATTGGACAAACTTTTTTGGTTAATACTGACTCGTGTTTTTGCATTTCCTCTGGCAAAAAAATGCCCAAAAAGAAAAGGATGAATTGATGTGATGGGAAAAAAATGATTCCCCTTATAACAGTGGTTCTGCAACTATAGAGTACAATTGTTTTGTGGAAGGGGTCACACTGGGCCCTCAGAAAGTATGTATAATTGCTTAGGTTCCAGAAAAGGATAGAATCAAATGCGTGATTGAATTGAAAGTCTCTTGGCCAAAGGTTCTTATGTTGGGAAGATAGCATTCTGGAGAAGGAGGAAACCTGCTGAAAACTAAGTATAGTAGACTGTAAGGCGGAATCTGATATTTTATATTCCTTCTGCTTCGAGTATTGACATAATAGCCCAGTCCACACTTATGCCAGTTCCTGGTGTGACAGTCTCCAATGTGTTCACATGGAGAACAGCTTTGGGGTGTTTTATTTAGGAACTTTGATGTAAAGGAATAGAGAAGGGAGACCTAAATTCAAGGAATAGGAGAAGCAATGACTTATATCAATGTTGCTCTTATCTGCATGAGGTTCAGATTGCAGAATGAAAATATTTGGCAACTAAAAAGAGAAACCAATGGACAACTGGGAGCCAATAGTTTGAGTGGAATTGTCCCTTTTTAAGGCTCCAGTAGCTACTAAACAGCTAATAAATGCTACTAAAACAGTTAATAAATACTACCAAAACAGCTTGTAATACTACTAAAACTATCCAACATATTAAGGCAAAAAATCACCCCCTTGTGCATATTTTTCTATTCTACTGAAAAAAATTAGAAAAGTTTAGAATCTTTAAAAAAAAGAGGGATAGATATAATGACTGGTTCAATCATTAGTCATAGACAAATTCCAGTTGGAAAGTTAAATGCTTTTTCTAATAGTTTCTGTGGCTCACTCAACATATTGGAATAGAGGCATCCTGGTTATAGTGGAGGAAGTAGCAAAATTAATCTTTTCCTAATTGTCTTGTCTACAGGCACCCAATCTTTGAGCGAAGAGGGGATGATTTATATACAAATGTGACTATCTCCCTAGTGGAGTCTCTCATTGGCTTTGAAATGGACGTTGTTCATTTAGATGGGCATAAGGTGAGGCAGAAGGAACATTTCCAGAATACTATGCTATGTAATTTCCATTATACTCTTGTCAATTGGCACTAAAATACAGTGTTATGATGTGTTACTGATATCTGTGAACATCCTGCTTTATTTTGTTTTTTAAATGCTAAACTTGTTGAAAAGTAAATCACTACCACTATCCATCCACCAGGTTCATGTTGCCCGGGATAAAATCACAAAACCTGGAGCCAAACTTTGGAAGAAAGGAGAAGGTCTTCCCAATTTTGACAACAACAACATTAAAGGCTCTTTAATAATTACGTTTGATGTAGATTTTCCCAAAGTGCAGCTCACAAGTGAACAGCGGGAAGGTTTGTATCAACAGTGTCCTACTGCACTATAATTACTGATAGATTTACCGTTCTACAATGGCAAACTCTCAAAAGTGTTTCGGTCTTTAGTGTGACCATCCTGGGGTGATGATCTAGTTAATATTGGGTCCACCACAGATATTTAACTCTTCAGATACTATCTAGTACATTCAGGAAAATGTGGGTTTTAATGGACTAGGAAACCAGTATGACAGCATGCTTTTTTTAAACTAGTTAGCTGTAACCTGTCTTTGGAATGGCCTTATCTCCCTTCCCCCCAAACTTTTCTACTGATTGAAGGTCTGCTGCCCATGTTTGCTACAAATATAGTATATAAGAAACCAACCTCTATTATAGCTTTATTTTGCATTTCGAAAGAATAGTAAAGCAGCCATTCCGGCTTTGCATAAATGTTGCATACGGTGAGACTTGATTAAAAACTAATCAGCTATCTTACATGTTCCTTACATGCCTTACATGTTCTCAGCCTGCAATCCTTACATGTCTTACATGTTCTCAGCCTGCAATACTGAAAAGCCAAGTTTACTATTTCTGTGGGACAGCTGTTTTTTATACCTCACTACAGGAAAATTTAAAGGATATATATGGAATGTTCTGACTATGTTTCAAAACAGCTTGAATTCAGTTGATTAGTTGGTGGGTGTTGTTGCTGTTGAAGCATTGCATATTTTGTATGACAGTCATTCTTATATTCTTTTGCAGGTCTCAAACAACTGCTGAAACAATCATCTGCTCAGAAAGTGTACAATGGACTGCAGGGATACTGAGACTTGAAGCAAATGGACTTTCTTGAAGATGAATGAAATCAGTGCTGTAAACTGCAGTCTTCTTCTGGTCATTGTAGAACAAAATTGAGGGCTATTGGAGTGACTACTGAGACCTCCATTTTTACAAATAGTGGGGGTGATTCTGGGACTGATCAGAAGATGGCAAAAGAAATTTCCTTATTCAGGACACAACTGGTGCTCTAATTGGAGCATTGTAAAGCTCCCAACGGTTGACTCGTGAGGAATTTTTTAAGAAGTACCACGGTGAAATTCTGGTTTTAAAATATATTTTGATGTTACTTTTTCTTGACCTTCTGAATGAATTTTCATGACTTTCTCATTCTTCCTCTACTTTGCCTTGTATCACAGATTACATTATTGGACCCGACTGTAAAGCTCTTGGTTAAAAACATTTCTCCAGTGTTCAGATTGTTGTCATCCTGGAAATATGCCTGTTCACATATTTCTTATTCTAATGGATTTGATACATGAGACAATACTACCTCTGCAGCTTTCATGTGTTACCTGCATTTGACTTCTCTTATGACTTGTCACAAATCCAGATATTTCCTCTTATTCTCAGCATGGAAAAGTTCTTTAGAGAGGTTCTTAGTTCTCCATTAGCAGTTAACATATGTGACATTGCTCATGCCGGTGTGGCATACTGTGCTTCTCTGACAGTAGGACATACCATATAAATTCCATAGACCATATTGAAAGTGTATGCATGCATAACATGCAGTCAGAAACAGATAATGCAGAAAACAAGTAACTGGAAATCCCTTAGCTCTATTGACTAATGGAAGCTAAAGGAGATAGGAATGTTGACAAAAAAGACTCCACCCAACATTGTTCTAGGGGGCTTGTTGCATATAGGTAGTCTGTTTTGTGCACCTAACTAAGATGGGCATGGAAGAAAATGTGACTCATCAGATCATGTTAGGAAGAGGCAAATGGCGAAAGCCATTATAGCAAGGGAGCTGGAGTCTAATGGCATCTGGACTTAAAAGGAAATTATACCACTTTATCTCCCATCTATAGGTAGCAGCTGCAATTTACCCCTATTTATTCAACTATGTAAAAACATTATCTTCCTCATCTGTAGTTCAGCAAAAATTGTTTTTGTGTTTTAAGCATCAAATTAAACCAGAACACAAAGGCATCCATTTGTGTGAATCTTTAGACTAATATCATGTATTGAATTTGTTTTCAACAGTAAACTCCCATAAAGTGCAACACAGCCAACAGGTAGCCTTGGACAAACAGTCTGTCTTCTTTGTATGGGATCATTTTCCTGCAAATACTACCATACTATTGGCATGCATGCTTCTGAGTTAGTTGCTTCTTAGTTCCAATTCTTTGACTAAGACTAGAGTGAAAATTCTGCAGCCAATCAACAATTTCTTTCTTGGCTGTATATATATCAATATAAAGTATGTTTAGAATGTTATGTTTCCCCCCACCCTCATATGTGTGTGTTCCAGTGCCACTTATATTTTGTTTTGTAAAAGATGAACTGGAATTTCTCTTCCCATATATGTTCCCTCTTCTGGATCGTGGCCTGAGTACTTGTTTTCTCTTAAAAAATAATATACACTGGTGTCTTCCAGAACTGACCATTGAAGTCACCAGTAGCAATGTACTGCCATGCCATAACTTGTTTTTATGTGTTACCAAAAAAAAAAAAAATAGCAATAGACTAGCACTGAAAAAAGCCCAAAGGGTATTTGTTAGTTTGAATGGATTTATTAAAAAAATGCATTTAATAACATTCAGAAAGCCAGTTGCCCTCTCAGCTGCTCCATGTTGTTAGAAATATTTTTATGAGCTTGGGCTCAAAAACAGAAATGGAGGTGTTTCAAAGACTTTTTTTTGCAACTGAGATCTGTAACCCCCAAGTCTGTGTTTCTTCAGAAAGCAATTTGAGATATAATCCAGAAAGCCTGAACGGAGCATTTATCAAACGTTGGTTGTTGTTTTTTTTCAAAGCACTTAAAAATTTATACATGAGCTACTTAACCATTTGTGATTTCCTACTTAGTTCTGTTGCAAGGATAAAATTAGTTGTACCTCATGTTATAGTTCAAGGTTCACTTTCTCTCATATTGTCAGGAATATTCAAGGAAAAGTAGCTGAATCTTGCTTTCTTGTACATTCTGTTTCAAGGAGAGGCTTAATGGTACTTTTACAAGAAGCATTATTTCTAGTCTTTGCTGTTCCCAATTCCTCTTATGGACACACCTCCACCAACTATTTCTAGATGCTTGTTTTGTCTTTATTGAAAAAAATATGTGTTGCCTTCTGTCAAACTAGAGAGGGGACGGGGGAGTTTTGGAGCGATTTAGCAGTTACAAAAATACGCAACTGCTGTTTTTGTTGCCTTAGATGCTACCTGCCCGACTCTGATATTAATGCCTTTTCTTAAGCCATAATATCTATAATGTGGTGCCTAACTCTACATCTAGAGTCATGATAAGAACTTCTCTACTGGATCCTACAATACAACCCATCTTATTAAATGTCCTCTTTTAACAGTAACCAAACCTGATGCATCCAGTAAGTTCACAAATAAGGCAATAATACTCCATTGTTCTACTTTCTTGGCAACTGATATTCAATGACATACTGCCTCTGGGGATGGAGATTTAATTTAGTCTACCTGTTTAATAACTGCCGATGGATATATTCCTCATAAGTTATTCCAACCCAGTAGTCATCAGCACATAGCATAGCAATAGAGTTTTAAAATCCATTCATAAATCCTGTTTGACTCTTTCAAACTGTTGCAACAAAATAAAAAATACTGGTAATAATTCTGTTTTTCAGGATGCATCAAAATGAGGAAAAACAGAACAAGATGCGTGAACATGTTCTTTTATACTGTGCTTTGTGAACTTGCTCTTGCCCTGTCCACTAATGTGTACATACAAATGTACCTCTTAAATGCCCCACAAAGTGCTTTTCTTAAGCATTGTACAGTATAATTTGGAGGGAAAAGTGTGTCTATGTTCCTTCAAGTCACCCACCAGCTAATAGCAAACCCATGAATTTCATAGGATTTTCTTAGGGAAGAAATACATGGGAGGTTTTGCAAGTTTCTTCCTCTGAAATAACCTGGTGACTTGGTAGTATCTCATCCATACTATTCAGGGCGGACCTGGATTAGCTTCCAAGATCAAAGAGGATCTAGTGTTTTTAGCCATTTAAACTGTTAAAAAATATCAACATAGGAATAATACAACTAAAATACAAGGTTACAACAAAGCCTTAAACCTAACATACATACACAACATTAAATATAATATGGATACTAAAAAATACAACCACAAGCACAAAACCTAAAATCACTGCAGGGACTAAAACAATAGATCTGAGCTATTAACAGCGTTAGAATATTTCATCCATTTGCTACCTGTAGACAAAAAAAACCCAGGCTTGTGCTAAAATGCTAGCAACGTAGATGATAAGGAATTTAAACTTTCATATCCAAGAAAAAGATTTCAGAGCCAAGAGATTACAACAAAAGAAACATGTTTGTAACAAGCCTCAGCTTTACAATGAGGGGACTGTCAGAGTACTCTAATATCATGAGGCAGGTACACAGGTGATGTGGGCATTCTTGGAGTTCCTTGATCCCAAGTTGTTCAAAGCATTTATGTGAAAATCAACCCTGTGAATGGGGCTGGAAATGGATCAAAAGTCACTACATGTCAGGAATGGTGCAGCATGATTAAAATGTATCAGGTGGGGCTCTCCCAGCCACAGAGTGTCCAAACTGGAAACCTCAGACTTTTGGAAGGATGGGTGAAGGGGGCTTTTCTCCAGGTTGCGAAGACAGTAAATATCCCAGTGATACTGATAGCCTTGCTGCTTCTCTTTGATCGTTCATCATACATATCAGTAATGTCAGAGTGAAAGAAAATGGCAAGCATAAGAGTCTACATCTTCCCGCTTATGTTGAACTGGACTAGGCAGTCTAGAGAGTTGGTAGTCCAAATGCTGTGGTGACTGGTGCTATCTCCTCCCACCAGTGCATAGGAAGAGGCAAACAGCGAAAGCCATTATAGCAAGGGCACCAAGAATGATGCCTAACACCAATGGAGTGTGTGGGCGTCCTTCCCGTTTCCCTGTAAGACAAACAATGAGTTTCCGTATTGCAATGCTAAAAGCGCTAGTTTACTAAATAACACAGCTAACAGCTGTTAAACATTGTTAAACAGCTAGATTCGAGGTCTAAGGCACGTCTGTCTAAGCTAATTATAAATGTTGCAGATTTAGAGCTAATTTTAAAATGAGTTTTGCAGGTGATGTTAAGCTTTTTGGTGCTAGAAATTAGAGGCTTCTTTTTCAGCCAAAATCATTTCAGTCAAAAATAGGACAGCATGCATGGGTTGACAGAAAATGGAATTCGTTGGTGGTTCACAACTATTAGGCTGATAAGAGGCTTGGAATAGTTGAATATTGAAGCTAACAGTCAACACTGATTTATATGGAAAAATCATGTTTTTACATGTACATGATTTACTGTGCATATTTTTTCTGCTGCTAGTGGAGGCCAAAGAGCTATAGAATGCAGGGAGGCTCCGACTTCTGTTAGAGTTGGTACAATATCCCCCTCTCGCCTTCTGAAACTATTTTTTATATATTCATGTGCGTTACGTAGATGCTTATTTTGTAAAACACTGGGACATAGTTCTTAAGATGCCAAATTTTGCATTTCATCCCATTGTTTGTGCTTACAGTGCTGCAGCATCACAAAAGATAACAAGAGACCGGCCTAAAGGAATTTGAATATTTGACTGTTCTACCTTGGACATCCTGCCTAACAGGAACCAATACAGAAAGAGATCTCTGCATAAAGATGATAAAATTGCTTTTCACATACCAGTTAAGGCTCCTTTCACATCAGTGTGTTCTCTGATGAAGTTGATACATGTTTCCTGTAGGAAAAACTGTAGATGTTCCCTGGTCTCGTTATATTTGTTCAGATTTGTACTGGCATAGATAGCTGCAGATGTTTCTTGTAAAGGTTCCCAGTGATTCTTGGCTCCATGGAATCTCAGGAATTCAGCCTTATTGAGCAAAACCTCAAAGAAGCTGCTGGTACCATTCTCAGAGAGCTGGCATGTTGCAGTGCAGTGTACTTCGAGGGGGTCTGCAATCCAAATGAGAGGGTTAGAGACTCCTTAGAGTCTTTTCTATTTTCCTCCCACATATACCAGTACTCTGCTAAACAATCCAAAGAAATACTGCTGTCTGTTGTTTGCTAATATGCTTCAAATTAGTGATTCTGCCAATGGCTATTTCATACATCTTATGGCAACCAATCCAGTTTTTCCACCAAAGCATAAAGCTCTCCAAAAATGCACCTTTGTGAAATAGTTGCAAATAGTTGTTTTATCACCTTGTATTCTGGTTTACCTACAGATTGGCCCTTGAGCATTCAAGGCAAATGCCTGTTGGAACAGTGCTATAAAGATCCTATATAACAGCTCCATTCCTCATTGTTCAAAATCTGATTTCTTTTTAATTTGATCTTTCATTGAGATTTCAAAGCATTTCTTAGGTATTGCAATATCCAAGAGCTGGGTCTGATTACAGCAATGCATTCTTGCAATACAGCCCAACTTCCCTGCTAAGAAATTACACTTTGTAGAATGCATATGGCTGAATCAAATCAAACCACTGTGTAACATCTTGGCTCCTTTTCTGAGGAAAGATATACTGGTAGTGAACCTGTTTTTATCTCTAGATATTGCAAGCATAACTTACTCATTTGCAACGTTGGCAAAGAATGCCTAGATTGGTGTTTGCAATTGATACAGACTAACAGAGACTGAACTCTATTGTTTGGCTATAAAGCACTTAAATAGTTCAAAGGGATACAATGTACTTAATAATGGTGAGTACACACACTACTAGATCAAGTTTTGTTTCATTTGCCATATAAGCCAAAATTGTGAGAAGAGCAAGTTAAACACATACAATGTCCCAGAACGATTGCATATACATGGCTGCAGGTTCAGTGTGTGTGGTACTCTGTATATGATATGATAAAAAGTATCCTATTTCACTAAACGTAATATAATTGTTGCCTTGGCTACAATGAGAATGTGTAGAATGAGACATGCTGGGCCAATCCAGCTATTACTAAATGGTAGACTATCCCTCCATACCCAGTTTGCAAATTTCTGGGTATATTATTTGACTAACAGCTATAATATTTCCTAACATTTAGTTCGTCCACTCACTCACTCTCTATACACACACACACACACACACACACTTATTGCCAAAAATGAAAATCGCAGTGACTTTCAGTAATGCTGAATAAAAAATACAATAAAAAATTACTCACATGATATATTTCTTTCTTGGGTGAGCAAATAGATCAGGTTCTTCAACTGAGATAGATAATCCCGCAGCTTGGTTCTCCTCATCTCCCAGAGATCTGTAGACTCCAGTGGGAGCAACTGGCTCACATTGACATGCCCATTATGGCTCTCCAGGCTGTGGGTGTGTGTCCCATCCAGAGTGGCATGACCAACAGTTTCCACCAGAGTCTTGTTTGGAAAGTAAGTGTGGTGGACCATAGTGAAGTTATGAGAGTCTGAGGGAAAAAACATAAGTGATGGTAGGTTAAGAAAGCAACACAGAGGCCAAAGCTTCATCCCATGGTAGTCTACGGCTATCCTTAAATAACCTGTGGTGTTGACCTGTAAACAACACTGAAAAGGAAATATATTATTTGGGGTTTGTTTTTTATTATATTCGTTTAGTGCCATTCCCCTTTTTTTCTTATCGTGTCATGAGCGACTTGAGAAACTGCAAGTCACTTCTGGTATGAGAGAATTGGCCGTCTGCAAGGACGTTTCCCAGGGGACGCCCGGATATTTGATGTTTTTATCATCCTTGTGGGAGGCTTCTCTCATGTCCCCGCATGAGGAGCTGGAGCTGATAGAGGGAGCTCATCCGCCTCTCCCCGGATTCAAGCCTGCAACCTGTCAGTCTTCAGTCCTGCCGGCATAGGGGTTTAACCCACCGCCACCGGGGGCTCCGCTATTCCACTAAAAATAGCACTCAAAGCAGCTAACAGGCATTGTTAAAATCAAATTAAAGACTATTTAGACAATGAAACCACTAATAAGGTATCACTAAAAGAATAAAAAACCATTAAAATCACAATCACCAATAAACATCAAATGAAAATAGCAGCAAGGCTTCATTTAAAACAGTTTTCTCTCCTCTCTTTTCTCATAGGTACAATGACAAATGAAAAGGCTGAAAGGCTGCCAGAGGAAATATCCCATATTCAGGAAGGAAGGAAGGAATGCCCTGCTTGGTTTCTCCTCCCAAGAGATGCTATTGTGTTCACAGCACTCTGCGGGGCATTCATTTTTGGCTGCCCTCCCATAATATTTCCCAGACTGAGTGGCACCATCATTTCCTGTGGCCCCTTTGGTGGCTCAGTGGCTTTTCTGGTAGTGGAACAAAAGGATCAGCAATGTCAGAGGTTAGCCTGCTGCTTCCTCCTGTGCAGGGGACATGCTGCAAACTGACTCCTTTTGCTTGTGTTAAATATCCTAGGGCTGGTCTGAAAAGTGAGGCTCCAGCTTTGGGCAACTTTATTTTGCCCTTCCTCTGAGTGTCAAAAAATAGCTACAAAGTGAACAGGAGTAGTTCAGCATCACTCTGTGGTCAAGCTGTTAAATACTAAATGCTGAGGCAGTTAGACCAGGCCCCACAAGAGGGCTGCTAAGAAAACAAGAATGATGTTATACGTAGACGCCACACTAAAAATACTAGGGCAGAAAACTTTGGACACTGGCATTTTAAGGCTCCCTGAGTGCCAGTCCACAAGAGAGCCCTAGGCATTCTTTCCTTTCTGGAAAAAAGCAAGCTGGTATAAGTTTTCAAATGCTGCCACTTCAAGGTTGTCAGGAATCCTTGAAACGATAAGCAAGTGGCAGAGCATGGTCCTTTCACCCTGGTCTCTTTTACATGTAGGTGAAAGCCTCCAAGAAGAGCAAAGAGGCTGCTGCAGGCTTCAGACACTGTAACCCCCCCCCCTAATTCTGGGACATATTAGCTACATTCGACCCATCATTATAGCACAATTATTCTACTTATTCTATGGAACCTGGGGCTTGTAGTCTGGTGGTGCTAAAGCACTTCCAAATGATTCTCCCCAACTACAATTCTGAAATTCTATGGGATAGAACCATGGCAATTGATGCGGTATAATAACTCCTTTGCATCTGTAGTTTAAACAGCTGACAGCCAACATGTGTGTATAATTATTCCATATATGACAGAGGTCCAGAATAACTACATTCCATCACTCCTGACTTGCTGCCAAACTGCCCAAAAGGCCCTGTGAGAGGGCATAAAGAATGTGAATGCACAGAAGTGACCAAAAATAAAATTCCTTTCAAGAAACCTAAACAGAAAAAGAGTAGCCTGTGATAACTGTGACAGCTTTAGAAAGAGATATATAGCAGCCCATCATAGTCCTGGGAGAGAAAATATTTAAAGAACACAATTCTGATACCAACGAATAAGAGAGTTGCATTCAAGATTTGGAAGCAACATTTTTACAACAAAGATTTTGCAACAAATGTGTGTGTGATAAAGATGAATGGAAGAAGGTGATGCATGTATGAATGTGTGGGAAGGAATAGAAGTGACTTATTAAAGGGTTGTTCCTTCCAATCTATTGAAATTGCCTACCAACCTTGTAGGTGCACCTTATCTTAAGGATTGCTCATTATTTCAGAGGCCATTGTTTCACAGATCATAATGGTCATTCCCAATTGCACAATAATAGCCTGGTGATCCTGTTATTTCTTTTAAATGATCAGTAAGTCTGTCCTAGTTAAGTTAGTAAGACTTATTGTTAACAATTTTATACACGAGGTTATGTTTATTTCCACTTCCCTGTTTATAGCTCCTTGTCTTATACAACTGTATTAGGTAGACACTAAGTCTACCTTACAAATAATGACCAAGAATTTACAAGTATTTTCTCAACATTTCAGCTTTCATGTCTTTAAATTTTTTATTATGCTATTTATCCTATCTGTTTCCTCATTGTTTAAAAATGTTTGCTGTTCATGGAATCATAGAATTGGAAGAGACCTTGTGAGCCATCCAGTCCAACCCCGTTATGTGGCTTCCTGTTGTTTTGGATTGATGCCAACCCTAAAGTGACTCTGTTACTGGGTTTTGACTAGATTTGTTCAGAGGGCTCTTGCCTTTGCCTTCCTCTGTGGCTGCATATGGGCACCTGATTGGTTTATGTGGCTGAGCAAGGCTTCAATGTATGGTTGTCTGGGTTACTCTCCAGTTCTGAAACCACTGCACCATGCAGGCTTTCTTATAAAGCTTTAATAGGTGTATTTCGAATTTCCAAACAACCATGTTCAGTCAGTAAATTCTTTTTAACATAACAATTTATTTGAGGAATGAACCATTTATTTGCCAGGCACCTACAAGTATCCATGGGATTAATTTGGAAATGCCAAACTGGTAAAGAAAAAAAGCACCATCCTTCATGAAAATTATCTTCAGAAAGATTAGGTTGAAAAATTTCATTACATTACTGTATCCATTTCCTTAGAGAGCCAACATGGTATAGTGGTCTGACCTATTGGCTACAAATCTGGAGACTTGCCTTCGGTCCCCCACTCAGCCATTGAAACACAACAACAATAACAAACTGTATTAGCCCAAATCCACTAAAGGCATCAGATCCTGGTCAGCCCTGGTTAGGAGACTAGGTGCTGTAGACTATATTTCAGAGGAGGGAAATGACAAAACCATCTCTTAATATTCCTTGCCTAAGGAAATCTTGTGGAATTAATAAGATCACCACAAGTGATATATATCTTGAAGGCACACACGCAAAACTGTGCTAATCTGTCTTAACAAATACATAAACTGAAAAACTGGTAATCGTATTCATAAACTAAAGTTCATTTCCCAGCATGAATCATCAGATTCATTAAATGCTATCCAGAATTGCACATATATATTTGTATTGATATGTTATGTGTGAAATATGTAAAACGTATGGGTCATAATAGGATGCTGGGCAGCGAAAAAAGACATACATCTATACATACTGAGAATTGCAATCACATCAACAGTTGTCAGACACAAAATGTTTACTGATAACACAAGCATGGGTGCACTTGGTAACCTAATTAACACATGTAACGTGAACCCGCCATTATACAAGGTACTTAACTTAGCCACCTTTGTCCTTACTACCATCTAACTGCCATTTGAAATGTATTTGCTCTTGAAAGTTCAAGGACCTAGTATCATATATCAACTAAAGTTTGGTTTCTGGATCCCCTGGCTACCAAAACTGATGTACAGTGACATAGTAAATGGTGTCCCTTACATAAACTAGCAAAATTAAGGTTTGCTTTTGAGAATTTTTTAAAATATCTTTTAAAGTTGGGGATGATTAAATCTACAGATATGGAGATCCAACAGTATGCCAGAACATGGAAACATATCAGTGTCGGCATTGGTTAGCTGTAATACTTTGGAAATTGTGGTCACAAACAATTTCTGAACCATTGATGGTGTCCTAAATAATACGCATGTGCACCATTTCAAAAAGTTATATAAAACAAATGCCTCCTCAGCTTCATAAAGCTAAACCAAACATACCTTCATGGTCCTAACTACCATATATCTTTGTAGAGTTGAGATTTTAAGCCAGATGCTTCAGAAAGCCATGCATATCCACTCACCTGCAGCATATGCCCAGTGGCACAGGGCCAAAGACAGGAGGAACATGTGCAAGAACAACATTCCCAGGAGTCACAAAAGCCAGGAATACTTAAGAGCAAAGGTTCCCAGAGATATTAAAAGAGTCCTGGAAGTTGGAGCCAAGCGCTTTTAAGCTTCAGGACACTAAACAGGGTTCTCTGGAGAAGCAAGCACAAGCAGGACTCCCTCTCTCTATCTTGCCCAGCCAGGACTGAAAGGGGGAGGCCAGTTGGCTGGGAATGGGCGGGTGGGGCGTGTTTTCCCTTTTCCTACATATTTCCTCATCTGCAGCTGAGAAACTGACTCCTTTTCCTTGCCAGGCTTCTTTCTGTTCCCACATCCCAAACTCAAGCTGGGAAGCATTACTTAAAATATTAAGCATTTCCTGGTTGTTGTAAGTTTATTCACTGAAGTAGAGAAGGAAAGGGGGTATGTATAGCTAAAATGCCATTTATAGCAGGGGACAGACAACTGGGTTTCTGCAGAGAGTTGGATTATGGTTCACAATGACTTTCACAATTGGCACATACAGTTCTTAGGAGCTAATATGTAAATCAGATTGTTGCAAACAATCTCAAGTTGTGAGGCATTCCAATGCCTGCACTAAGGGCTTGATTTCCTGTGGGAAAAGGCAGCAGTGGATACATGTCAGTTTGCTGGAATATTTGCTTCATTTTCAGATACAAAGAGGCATCCCTACATGGCAGGAGCTCCATTTGTTCAAATCCTCTATATCAGAGGTCCTCAAACTTTTTAAACATAGGTCACAGCCCCTCAAACTGTTGGAGGTCTGGATTATAATTTGAAAAAAAAACATGAATGAATTCCTATGCACATTGCACATATCTTATTTGTAGTGCAAAAAGCATGTAAAAACAACAGAATAATTAAAATGAAGAACAATTTCAACAAATGTAAACTTATTAGTATTTCAATGGGAAGTGTGGGCCTGCTTTTGGCTGATGAGATAGTATTGTTGTTGTTGTGTGCTTTCAAGTCGTTTCAGACTTAGGTTCACCTTGAGCGAGGGCTGGGTAAATGACCGAGGGCTGGACCGGGCCTTAGTTTGAGGACCCCTGCTCTATATGAACACTGAAAAGACATTTCAGGCCTTCCCCTCTAGGCTAGGATGGGAGGAGGGTCTGAGCCCATTCAGAAATGATCTGGCAAACCTGGCCCATCAAAACTCCTAAGTATTTCAATCTCCTTGAGAGTTATCAATCAAATGTACACTAAATTAACATGCACTAAGAAGCATGTTTGTTGTTGAGCCCGCCTAAGAATCAGAAAGATGGGCTGGAATCAGGGCCGTAGCCAGAAAAAAATTTCAGGAGGGGTTGAAATTTTCGGGGGGGGGGGGGTGAAAATTTCGCAGGGGGGTTTGAAACCTGCCTCCTAGCTCACGCTGAAGCAAAGAGCACAGCAGGGGGCAGAGCAGCCTTCAATAGCCTGCAGCTCCCCTTGTCAACCACCTCCACCAAGTCTGGCCTCCTTAATGAGAGCATTCAACATCCCCCCCCCCCCCAACTTGGTTGCTTCACTGCTGTTCTGTCGCGCGCTGGGCCTGTAAATAATTGTCTTTAGAACAGGATGTGCAACCTTTGCCCAGCGGGAAGCCAGGGGGCCTAAAGAGAAGTTCTCAGAGGTTTCCACCACAAACAGTCTTTAGATGGCTTGAGAAGTACAACAAAGTCTTTTATTAATGAACAATCAAACAGAAACTTCTCTTGTCTTCAGTAAAGTTAAGCAAATGATTCCAAGCTTTTAGGCAACTGGTGAATTCCTAATCTTGCCCACGAAGGACAGGCAACTGTCTTCAATAACTTCTTCTTTAAAGGAAAATCCCCTTTTTAACTACTCCCAGGCTGACTGTAATCTAACCCTTACTGATGTGGGCTCTGCTACTGGGTCAAACTGCGTCTCGAATGCCGAGTGGACCTACCAGCAAGGCAGTAGATGTTCTCCAGCTGGCCAGTTAGCTAACTTGCAAGGTCTTTAGGGCTGTTTTCCTGGAAATTCTTTGGAGACACTTAAGATCTTTCTCCCCCGGAAGTTCTTAAGGGTTGAAGCTTTTGTACAGGGGAAGCTTGCACACATCCTATACATAAGCTTACCTTGCTGAGACTAACTAAAAATGGCTCCCTTCCCTTCCCAATTGCCCTGAGCAAGGGGCGGGACCAAAACTTAACAATGATGGACAGGTGACTTGCCCTATGACTGCAACCAAAGAAGCCACCTATCTGCAGAGTCCCTGAAACCTAGGACTGCAAGCAAACATTTAATACAAAGCAAATAAAGTTGGAGCTCCTGGTACAGCTGTATCAGAACAACTACATCAGCTATTGCTGCAAGTAATGACAGTGTGAATAAATTGCTAATATTTGCTTAAGATAGTGCTTGCAGTTCTGGAGGGACTCTTGATTTTTTGCATCTCATAGACTTAGCATGGGGATTTGGTTAACCAGTTAAAATTCATGAGTAAACCAGGTTTTTAAAAAATCTGAAACATTTCGTGTGTGTGTGAACCCCTACCCCCCCCCCCCTCGCTATGGGCCTGGCTGGAATCCATCCTGTGATCACTTACCTCGGAGTAAGCTACATTAAACCCATGAAGGGCAATTTTCATACAAATAAATGATAGTAAGGGTAAAGGTTTTCCCCTGACGTTATGTCCAGTCATGTCCAACTCTGGGGGCTGCTGCTCATCTCAATTTCTAAGCCAAAGAGCCAGTGTTGTCCGTAGACATCTCCAAGATCATGTGGCCAGCATGACTGCATGGACCACCATTACCTTCCCGTTGGAGCAATACCTATTGATCTACTCACATTTGCATGTTTTTGAACTGCTAGATTGGCAGAAGCTGGGACTAACAGCAGGAGCTCATGCCGCTCCCCGGATTCGAACTTGCAACCTTTCAGTCACCAAGTTCAGCAGCTCAGCATTTAACCCACTGCGCCACCACGGGCTCCTAAAAAATTGTAATGGATGGCAAAAGTAATCTGACCTCCTTCTGCAAGTAGGCAAAATCAATATCAACTTGCTAGCCAATGTTGACCCCCAACCCCCAAAAACATTTGTAGTACCCCCAAGTTTTTCATCCTGAACCAATAGTTCTACTTCTCCCAATTCTGTCCACTGTGTCATGATTCAAATGTGCACGCATACACAAATATAGTCTATTTGAGGACTATATATTAAATGGATTTTTGGGCCTGGAAGATCTAATGAGAAACCTAAATGTGTCTGGCTATTTTCCCAGTGACCATCGGTATGCCCTAATTAGTGTAATTCCCCCAAAATAAAACTCTACAAACAAGATTAAGTTCAACAATTGTTTACTGAATAATCAAGGTATAAAAGTACAATTTGATTATGAAGGTGTTAGAACAGTGAAACATAAACTCTGAGGTAACAAACTATAATTTCTATGAGGTAAGTATTCTATAAATTCTGGGGCATGTACTATCTATTCTATATAACATTTACTATAAACTCTAAAGCAAATATTATCTATTCTATGGCAAACATTATCTATTCTTTATTACATGTACTCTAAGGCAAATATGTGATAAGGATGGCCTGTATGGACTGCAAGCCAGACCAGACACTTTTCTGGCAACTATCTATAAACTATGACCAAAAGGAATGGAGCCAAAAAGTCTTTCACCAGGCTCTGAAGCAGAATGGGCTGAACCAAAGAGCTTGGCCTATAGGGGGAGCCTAAGCTCCTACTCTAAAACTTAACAGAATGGAACAGTCTAACTACAGGGAACAAACAGAGAGGTAAAAACTAGGCCGAGACATCACACGTCCCCTCAATAATTTCTAGACTCTATCAAGTATTCCATCCAGAATCACGCAGATGCCATCTGTCAGAGTACCAGGACTAACCATCTCCCTTTTGTCTCTTCTCATTTGTCTAGTCCCCTTCCTTTTGGTGTATCCTGAAACACAATTTTAACTGGTGGAGATGGCCAAGAGCTAGAGGAGCCTCTCCCAGTGTACTTAGACCGGAAATTACTCTTTGCTGACCTTTGTGCTGGCATTTTGGCTTGTTTCTTTGAGCAGGAGATTCAGATCTCAGCTCCTCCCACATTTCACTTATTTTTGGCTTTTTAGTGGATCCTCTGGTGTCATGAGTCAGCAGAAGAGTGTTGTGCCAGCAGAAGCACATTTCTACCTGCAGAAGAGCCTTGTGCTTAATCCTAACTCTTTATGGATGACATACTGTTGAATTGGGATTGTCCTGCTCTACTTTCCGATCTCTAAAAATTACCATGAGAGCATTTATAGCTTGGTTTTTGCTTCAATGCTTAATTGAACGTCATGACTTTGCCAGGTTATTTTGCAGTTAAATGTGTATATAATTGTAACAATTGTGGAAAACTCATTTTCTTCCATTCTAACCCTCAAAACATATCTGCATACAACTGCTACAATGGTTTGGGTTGTGAGGTCAGCAGCCTCCTGTTCTCAGTCCAAAATCTGAGACCAATGGGTGGTCACTTGTGAATCCACAGAGGGAGAAACTTTTTATGCCACAGAGATTGGACAGGTGGGGTTGAGAGACAGGCTGAAATGGTTCTGTATCAGCAAACTGTGCATATACAGCATGAGTGCAATCCAGGAAAACGTATCCAAAAATATGGTTAAACAGCTGTGTGTAGTCATGTTAAAAAGATATTGAAAACAGAGCTGGGACTGGGTTTTTCACTCATTCAATTCAGAGCTTTGAACCAGATAAATATTTTCTCATGCGTTAGACTTATTTTTAAAATTATATGCTCTGAGTAACTGTGGTTGGTGTTTAATACATCATGCTAATTGACTTTGTCAGAAGATAGTTTCTGTTACAAATTTCAAATCTTGAAATTCTTCTGGCCTAAAAATCCTGACTCTGGGCAAGGTAAAAATTCAGGTCAACTAAACAACTGGGTTTCTTGGGTACACATTGTTTTGCTCCCCATCTAGGTTAGCAAAATAGGTTGGATAACACATTTACATTTTCCTTGTAAATATTTTTAAACATTCCACATATTTTAAATGTATTCAGTGTTTGTCAGATTTGCAAAATCAAAGTAATAATAATAATCTTTATTTATATACCGTCGTATCTCTCCAAAGGGACTCAGTAGACCGTTTTCTTCCCTTTAGCCTTGATTAATCCTATCAATTATCTAATTTTATTTCAAGACCAAGAATA